TGAGAACCCTGTTTTTCAAGGGGAATGCTCAGAAAAAATGGGGTTAAAGTTGTACTGTCACCTTTGGAGAAAGCAGATGTGACCTATTGTTACTTTTTACCTATATTTTACCATACAGGAGCAGGACCACTGACTGACTGACTTTCGGCTTATTTGAAAAGAGCAGATAAAGGGGATTGTTTTTCTTGCTAAGTACCTTATCTCAAAATATTTTTTCCACCATTGCATACATGATCTTCCCATATAATTCAGGCCATCCTTGAACTTGTGGCTATCCTGCCTCAGCCTTCCAAGCACTAGGGTTACAGAGAGGCATAATCTCACCCGCCATACTATTGTTTTACTTAGATGTGTGTGTGTGTGTGTGTGTGTGCATGTATATGTGCACATGTGTACAGGTGTCCACAGAATCCTAGAGAGGGTGTGGGATCTCCTAGAGCAAGGTTAGAAGTGGTTGTGAGCTGCCTGGCCCTTGCTGAAAGAACAGTGAGCACACTTACCTTCTGAGTCATTTCTTCAGAGTTCTATTGTTTTTATAGTCTCTGTAATTGAGAGGATCTTGTTTCATAGTGTGTGTGTGTGTGTGTGTGTGTGTGTGTGTGTGTATGTATGTATGTATGTATGTATGTGGAGATAGGCTCTCCCTATGTATCCCAGTCTGGCTTCAAACCTGTTATCCTGCCTCAGCCTCCAGAGTGCTGGATGTATAAGCATGTGTATCACATCTAGCTGTAATTACTTATTTTGAAGTAAGATTTCATCTAATTTGACATTTAATAAATTTTGTATTAGCCGTCTGTATAACAAATACCTGAACCAACTTAAAAGAGAAAAATATTTACAAATAAAACTCGCTTTTAGAGGCTTCTATAGTTGGGTAGCCCATTTCTCTGGGGGTTAAAGGCAATCGGGACAGCATGCTAGTAGTATATGGCAGGGGAGGCTGCCCACCTCATAGCAGCCAAGAAGAAGACGGGTGAGGGGTGGGGGTGAGGGGGAATAGCAGCCCTCTTCAAGACCATGACCCCTGAAAATGCACTGGGCTGGGGACTCAGCCTTCAACACCCAGACCTTCGAGGACATTGCAGATCCCCAGATCATTAAAGATACAAAGTATCAGGAGTCAGCCAGTTTCCTAATCACTGTGATAAAAGCACCCAAAAGAAGCAAGGTAATGGAGGGTGGGTTTATAAAGTGGAGGATGGGTTTATGGCGGCTCTAGTTAAGGTGATACCTTGCCTCCTCGGAGGGAAGGCTCTGAAGCAGAAGCAATTCCTGATGGTGGTGTGTGAGCCGGAGGCAGCTGGCTGCAGCTCTGGCAGTCAGGAAGTAGAGACTGAGCCAGAAGCAGGCCTGAGATATGGTTCTAAAGGCTCAGCCAGCTCAGCCAGAAGCAACTCAGACGCACTTCCTCCAGTTAGCCCCACCTTCTAAAGATTCTACCGTCCCTCAAAGGGCACCACTAGCTGGCAACCAAGTGTTCAAACACACTGGCCTGTGTTTCTATCCAAACTGTAACAACTTATTTAAAAATTACAGATGCGTCATTTTAGAATTTTAAAGCAAGCGCTATCCATAATAGTGGCTGAAGTCCACTTCAGCGAGTCTGATGAACATTCCCACCAGACAGTCACGAGATGGAAGCTTAGCAAGCTCCCTTCCCTGCTGATGGAAGGAAGAAGACAAAAACCAAACTATTTAGTAAGGTAAGCCAGCTACAGCAGAGACCAACACTTAATTGGCAGGATGGACTGTCTCATACCTGAAGACCATTCACTGTTATAGAATTATTATACCAGGCAGGCGGTGGTGGCACACACCTTTAATCCCAGCACTTAGGAGGCAGAGGCAAGCAGATCTCCATGACTTCAAGATCAGCCTGGTCTACAAGAGCTAGTTCCAGGACAACCTCTAAAGCCACAGAGAAACCCTGTCTTGGAGAAAAAAAAAAAAAAAAAGAATTATTATACCAAAGTCTTAGCGTGTTACCTACCCTAAGAATGAAACACACGGAACATATTCTAAATAATTTGAGAATCAAATTTTGGTCAGTTTTCAGTGCTAATGCTATCAACGTGCTCAGCTGTTTCCCTTATAGAAATCATGTAAACACTAAGCTTCTAGGATTCTGACTTCCCTACTTAAGAAAAACGTGTATGACGGTGGGATCCAGAATGTCTTCCGGAGGCTGGTGTGTCGAAAGCTTGCCTCCCACCGGCTGGCGTTGCTAAGAAGCGGTGCGGGATCACAAGGATGCTACCTGTATCAATGGCCCTGCACATTGGTCACTTCACAACTCAGTGAACTATTGGAATTTGATGGAAAACTAGAAGCTGGAGCTTCCCCCTCAGACAGACCTTCAAAGAGAATGGCTTGTCCTTGTCCTCAGCCCTTCCTGTCCTTGCCTCTGTGAGCTATGAAGGGAGCTGCGTTGCTCCACCACAAGTCTCTGCCTTCACGGAAGCAGTGACCTGGGACAGAAATCTTCTCTGTGACAGTTCTGATAGAAGTCAAAGGAAAACGTTCTCAACCACGGAGCCATCTCTCCAGCCTCTGGATTATTTATTTCGTATCAGTAGCATCTTTCAAGGCTCACTGGATGATTTTCCAGAGGACCCCGGGGTTCAATTCCCAGCACCCCACAAGGCCGCTCACCATGGTCTGTAATTCCAGTTCCCTGGAACTGCGAATCCTCTTCTGGCCTCTGCAGATGCAACATATGCATGTGCCATATAGTCACCCATGGACACAAAATACCCATCCACATAAATAAATCAATAAAATTTAAGAAAAAGAAAAGCAATCCAAAACCACTATAGTTAGCACACAGAAGTGAGAATGTTGGGGTACCCCGAATTGAGGAGGGGTCCCCAAGCAGGATTCGTCACCCCAAGAATCAAGAGTCCACGCGCCAATTGATGCAACATGCAAGAGGCTTTCATTAGGCATCTGCAGATGGGCCTCTCGGTCAGCTTTTAGACTGATTGGCCCCGAGGTTCAGTTACAATCAGCTTTTAAAGACAAAAACCACAAGCTTTTGGGAGGGGTCCCTATCTCGTGATGGGGGAAGGGGGTACGTGACTCCTGTCCCGGGGAAGTAAAGATGTCCTTCACATCAAACCTTGGTATGAGTTAATTTATCTCTCCCTAAGTAAATAGTGTTATCTCCTTGTTTCCCACTAGTCTTGTTTGCCCTGGTCAGTTCTTCACAGGTGGCAGCCCATAATTGGTTTTTTGTGGATTTACAGCCCTTCTGCAATTAAGGTCTCTAACCCATACATTCCATTCTGTGGTATGGCCGGTTCCTGGGATGGGGTCCTTTGTTCACTTCCCAAGTTCTCTAGTGGGGTGCCCTCCCTGTTTAAGCTTACATTTTATTTCTATAAATTCGGGGTCTTACAAGAATACTGATTGTTAGGTCTCAATCCTGAGACAAATGGCCATCTCAGGTGCATACTTAACAAAGCAAGGCAGACCCTGCCACCAGGTTCTCCCGGCATCCCTCAGTCCCTACCTGTTTCAGAGCGTGGCTGGTATTCCCTACCTCCACTCCAAACTTCTCCAGCCCAGCTACGGGCTGGGCTTCCCTTTCCCCAGCTGCCTTTCCCTAAATAATCCAGTCCTTTTGGTTACCTGGCCCTTTCCTCTACTCTCCTGCTTGCCCCCTCCCCTTCTCCTCACAGGTTCAGGATCATGTCCACTCTGGACTCCCCCAGATGTCCCGCCTCTGGCTATGCTCTTTCCCTTTTATCTCTGAGAAACCTCCTCCACCGTATCTAGGAGCAGTCACGTCCTTCCGCTTTGTTTCTTTTCTCTTTTCATCCACCGATGCAGTTTTACTGTTAGCATCTATTTTAAGTTTTTATTTAAAGCAAATTCTTAGATTGATTTTATGTGTACCACAAGTCCGAAGAGGTCGGTCCCCTGGAGCTGCAGATGGTTGTTGGCTGCCATTGAGTGCTGGGAACTGAACCCGTGTCCTCTGTAAGATCAACGAGAACTTTTAACTGCTGAGCTACCTATCAGGTCCTATTGCCTTTTTTAAAAACTACTCTTTTATATATATTGGTAACACTATCAAAGTAATATATGTTATACAATAAACTATAAAAATTGATATTTTAAAAGAACCTACTATTTTTATATACATTGGTTATACTATAAAAGTATACATAATATATATAGTATGTAAGTTATACAATAATCTATAAAAGTAGATATTTAAAAAGTACCTATTTATATATATATTGGTTATACTTATTGTATAGGGCCTGGCTGGGTTTGCAGGATGAAAGGGTAGAAAAACAGCAAACTACAAGAATTACTTCCCTCCTCACTCACTATATACCATCTCAATATATACACTGCAATATATATGTCTGTGACTTCTGAATAATGCAACATAGTGTGCAGAAAGACCTTTGCCTGTTTTGTTCCCCTCCTAAAAGTACCAGTTAAGGGTCCCATGCCTTTTCTCTGGAGCCTGGTTTTTCACTTAGCCTCAAGGCATACCCTTGCTTTGTCTGACAGATACATCTCTTACCAGGGTGGCTGCCATCATGTCACCATTTAGAGAAGAGACTCGATCAGAGCTGCAGGAATGCAGCCCTTTCTTCAGAATGCCTTCCCTTCTGCCCAGAGCCACCTGCAATGACTTACAAAGAACCACTTAGCATTGTGTTCTTTTCTGACATTCCAAGCAGCTTACTTACAGCTCGAGTATGTGTTACTTAAAAGATAGACGTGGTCTGGTGTCTGGGATCGGGAAAGTCAGCAGTCAACCGTCAGTAGAGCTGAGCATTCTGAGGTCAGTAAGACATCCCCAATATTCATAGACATTTCAAGAGACAGCCAAGGTTTTCGGGGATCTGCTTGCACACCTGCTATTGTCAGCGGAAGGGAGAGTCCACAGGAGACAATTCTTTCTACTTTGCCTTTCCCGTCCACTTTGATTCCACAGTTAAAGACGTGAAAACACTCAAGAAATAATCAAGAAAACATTATCAAGAATAAGTTTTATTAAGACCACCACTAGTAAAAGGTCAGTCTTTTAAGAATACTCCAGCATCTAAGATGAGGAGCAAGTATTAGGGAACAAACATCAAACCCGACAGCATATAGTATTCTGATTTGCCCCATTAAATCCATCTTTCCTAGAATTCATAGCAAAAGATGACATTTGTTAGAACTGGTTGTGAAACAGGAATGCGGTGTTTCTGAATATTGTTCCTATCACAATACTCAGATGTACTGGGATGTCCCTGAAGAGACATACCGGCTGGTGGCTCCAACTGTACAAACTGCACACTTGGAGGCCTTGTTACTGTGACCAACACGATACATCCTCTCAGAAGGTTCTAGAGAAACAGCAGTTACTTTCTCTCGGCATAAGTGTGTATTTGAAATTTCACAGTAAATAATACTTCTAAGGGAAGATTGTCCTAGATTTCAAAATAATGTTGAAAAGTTCTTACAATGAATTTTACATCTGCTCTCATTTTTATTGTTAAGTACAGCTATGAAAACCAAGTCATACAGTCTTCAAGCGTTTCTTCCCGATTTGGGGATCCACTGAGACGGTGAGGCCCACGAAGGCAAGCATGCCCCTGTCTCTACTTACTCGGTCCTGAGCATGCTCTTCTACTTCTTCCCGACGCCCACTCCTTTTCACTGTGAGGCTGAAAACCAAAACACAGTCTAGGAAGGTCTAAAAATGACCCATCACAAAAATAAGGCAGCTTCGGCTGTGAAAGCATCAGTTCTCATCTGCTCGCTGGCTTCAGGCTTCCTTACAGATCTGTTTTCTCCTCATAACGGCACCAACATGCAGCTCGCTGGCTGTCCAGGTAGGGCTTGCAGCCCAAATGTATGACACTGTCAAATAGGAGCTCCACCGTTGTTTCACATGCTGCAGAGAAAAGACATGTTGTAACATGAATAATAAAAGACCCAGAGACTGATATTAGGGTTCAAACTTCAAGCTGAAGATCAGAAAAGCAAAGCAGCTGGCCACTATCTTCTTTACCTCTACCTCAAGCTGAATGGGCTGATCCTGTCTCCACAAGCTCTCACCAGGCCTCAGACTGTATGTAACCTTTCTTCAGCTTGGCTGGAGAATGAATGCCTCCTACTGAGCCCCGTTCCTGTCTTAAATACCTCTCATGAGTCCTGGGATTAAAGGTGTGAGCTATAATTCTCTTTTAGACTGATTCAATCTTGTGTAGATCTAGGTGGCCTTGGACTCACAGAGATCCGTCTACTCTTAACCCTGAGTCCTAGGATTAAAGGTGTCTATCACCACTGCCTGATCTCTATAGCTTGAGGCTGACTTTGCTTTCTGGATTCCCAGTCAAGCTTTAATAAATCACAAATATCACCACAACATGTCATCACTGCTCTGTTCCCACCTGTATACCTGCTGTAGCACAGGGCCATGCCCTTCAGTGGGCACTCAAACACGTAGGAGGTCAAAGTCATCCAAGTCCCTCACACCAGCAGCACACCCTCCAGATTCCATCTCAGTCCCTACACACATGTACGCACACACGCACGCACGCACATGCACAAATGCTTGGCTTCAATTGTTCGGAACAACTTTTTGTAGGCAAGTAATAATCTTTATGGAACACTAAGTCATCAGAGTTAGTTTTCCTTTTAGCAGAGAAATGTAATCACAATAAAGATGTCTGACAACTGCGGAGTTTACACGGCAAGTGAGTATGTGTGGCTGCTGCACTACTGGAGGACAGAGAGGCTGCGGCTCTGACAGGTTAAGAATACGCTGCACCCTCGGACTTAGGAAGGAGTGTAAAGGAGAAACCTCCGCACTAGGGGCACGACTCTAGGCAAAGGCACTAGGAGAGAACCGACCCCCACAAGTTGTGTCCTTTGGCCTCCACAAGTGTGCTGTGGTCTATGTGTGCGTACATACATACACAAATTTAATAGAAACAATTTAAAACAAGCAAATAACAAAAATCTCCGAACCCTCAAGGCATCACTACGACCAGTGGCTTCTAAGACTGATGGCATTTATTGAAGACACTCATACTAATGGTACCCATTCTCTTTCTTTGACCAATTCTAAAGCTTGGCTTCAGGGTGGATGCTCATGGGAAATCCAAAGTAGTTTCTCCTGAGGTTTAAAAAATGTTAAGACTATAAAAAAGCTATCAGCTTACCTTTCCTGTTCTAAGAAACCGCAGGCATGCTACATTCACAGAGCTAAACCACAAAGTAGCAGCCATTTTTCAAATATTCACATGAAGGACGACTCTTATTTTAAAACTCATCCTTTTTGAAGTCCTCCAAAAGACCGTGCCAGTCCAGAGCACATCAACCAGAGAAACGCAGACTGAACTGCAGGCATCAGTCTTTCTGAAGTGAGAAAACAAATCCATCCACAAGCGCTTCAGTTTGTTACCACAGCCAGAAGTGGGCTAGAGGGGAGAGTGATTCAGGCCTCTTCTGCGGCAGAGACCTCCCCTGGAGAGTCTTCCTGGGATGTCAGAATCAGAATACCACATGTGCCTCCCTAGAACAGTCAGTGGACAGAGCTTGGGCTCCAGAGTCAGACAGTCAAGGCCTACTTGGGACAAGATCCAGGCCTCGCTCTGCTTCCCTCAAAGATAGAGACATCCTGTCTAGCACTTGGGGGTTTTTGTGAGCATCAAAAGAAAACATTACATTACCTAGCACAATATTTAAGGAAAACACATAAGAATGTTAGTTTTCTCTCCTGCCTTCCTCTTTGCCACTTCTGACTTTAGTGTATAATACATTCTTTGACTTATAGTAGAAAGCCTTCTAAATGTTCATATTTGAACAGTGATTTATATTTCCACAGACATTTCAGTTCGGCTTATGACAAGGGTCACTGGAGGTTGGGACTCCAGCGATATGGCTTTTGTGAGTCATTACCTACTCTAGGTAGGACACATGCTTTAGATACCCATGATGCTGTAAGTTACACCAATAAATTTACTGGATCATCAAGTTAGACTTGGATGAAATCAATTCTATTGCCACACACAATGACTAATAGTAAGTCCTATTGCTGGGGTTATAGGACATGATGAAATCGTGTTGGGAACAATCTGAAAGCTTCTTCCCTGGTGGCTAACATTTGTAGGCTGGAACATGGTAGCATGTTGGGGAAGTGTTATCAAAAACTGTTCTAATTGGTATGCTAATGTCATCAACAGGCCATGCAAGATGTGCCCATTGATGCACTATGGGTACATCCAACTACTTTCTGATTGTATTGAAGGCCTGCTGCACACAGGGAACTCATGTTTGGTATATCAGCCAAGGTAAAACCCTGGGGAAATCTCAGCTTGTGTTGTGAAGAGTGATACTACTGTTTTGTTAAATAGACGTGGCGTGATTGTTAAATTGCCAGTTTACCAAGCTGGACTTGGATGGAATTGTTTCCTTGGTCGTTACTGGTGCCCTATCTAGTATGAACAGATGTTTCTTTACACATCCCCAGGTAAAGTCGTGCAACATGCAGCCTCCTGAGTTCTGGGATCATGGGCATGAGCCTTCAATCTAGCAGCTATACCGCACTCTTAAATTCACTGGTGCTACAGATGTCTATTGTTGCGGGATATTTGTTCACACTGACACTCCGATCTGACAATAAAGTTTACCTTGAATCTGAGGGTGGAGTTAGAAACTAGCCAACCAGAATTGGCCATAGAGGTTTTGGAGGACCCAGGAAACAGAGACACACAGGAAGTAGTAGGGAGGGGCTTAAAAAGATCGAGAACCTTTTTTGATCAGGGAAGGAGAAAGGGGGGGGGTCACTGGTCACTTCTCTGCTCAATCAGGTTTTTACCCTGAAATCTGACTCCTGAGTTTTATTTAATAATAGAATAATATAAGCAGTCATATTTAATAATAGAACAATATAAGAAAATACTTCAGTTTATGTTGCTCTAAGAATTGTGTAAGTCTTAACATCCAAGGTAAAGGAATTAAGATAGTAAGGACTTTGGGAAGTGAGTAGGTCATGAGGGTAGTATACTCATGAATGGGATTAGTCACATAAAAAAGGTATTCCTTTAGGACATAATTCAGGAGTAGAGGGCTTGTCTAGCATATGCAAGGTCCTCAGTGTAATCCCAGGACTGTGCAACACAATAAAAACGCAGGCAAACAAAACAGGATCCCAGGGAGCTGCCTAGTCCCTTTCCCCATGCCACGATACAACTGGTAGGGTGGTCTATGAGCCCAGAAAAGAAACGTTGCTAGACAATGACTGCTTATGCCTTCAGCTTGTACTCCCTAGCCTACTGAACTATGGGAAATAAATTTCTGTTGCCTTTAACCAACTTCAATCTCTTACATTGTATTACCGCATCCCTATGACAACATTTAGTTTTTGAATGATTAGATTCATATTCCAGGGCACAAGGTGGATGAATTTTTCCCTTCTCTGCCTCAGACACTCCTCTAAGTTTTCTGAACACTGCTTTTGTAACTGTATATAATTTTAGATTACAAAATGATCCTCACTCCAGACAACTGAAGAGGCTGTATCATAACAGCTAATGAAGGAGAAAGAGCTCCTTTGGTATGCTTTTATACTGAGCATGGATTCACTGAAATACTAAGGGCATCCGAATCCCAGCCGGCAGGCCCATCCTTACCTTGAACGTTCTGAGAGAGCCCTAGAGTCTTCTGCACGTCCCGGCAGATCTTGGAGAGGCAGTACTGGAACTCCTCGTCACAGTCGTTCTTGCTTTTACCACAGGTCTCGTAGCACCTGTCGTGTTGGTTGCAGCACTTTGTCAGGGAAGGGATGCCAATGTTCAGCTGTGAGATGGATTATTGTCAGTGAGATGCAAACCGCCAGCACTGGCAATGCATTCAAATGGACTTCACAGAAAGAAATGACGACTGCGGTAGACAATCCCCAGACCCACGTCCACCTATGGATGCTTTCTGTGTTATAATCGGATTCTTCTTACTCATTCTTAGCCATGTAACTGTGTCAACCATACCACACTCCTCTCCAGTTTGCAGTGTTAGAGTTAACTGTCAGTAGCTTTCACAACTTTTAACTGTCTAAAACACAACACACAACTAACTTTATTTGTGCAGGGAGTCTGTGTGTGAGGAGCAGTGGTCACAGGAGGGCAGCAGAGGAGGATGTGGAATGTCCTCCTCTATGGCCATCTGCCTCATTACCCTGAGACAGGCTCTCACTGAACCTGAAGACAACTGTTTTGGCTACTGATTATCTAGAAAGCTCCCAGGATCCCGCCTGTTTCCATCACAAGCACACATGGCCATGCCTGGCTTGTATGTTGGTATGGGGGATTTGAACTCAGGTACTCATCCTGCAAGGATCACTCTTACCCATGGGGCCATCTCCCTAGCCCCATGAGGCATTGCTTAAACAACAAATATGCCTAAGAGCATTAAAAAACAACAATTAGGATCTTAGGATATTCCAATGCATTTTGTGTGTCCTCCCCCATAGAGATGTACTTTCTATGAAGTGCTATAGAAAATTCTTAACTGCCTACAATTCAAATGGTGGTTTGTTTTTTAACTTTTCATTTTCTAGAGATACCATTACCATAACTCTATAATTTATATTTAGTTATTTCAACTAACTTACACAACCCTCATGGGTAGGAGCTGTTTTATAAACACACCCTCTACCTGTGGCTACTGGCTCCTCTAGTATCCCCAGTAACAACTGCTATAAGAACTATTCTGCCACCCCAATTAGCCCCCCACCTTTTTTTTTAACATAGAAAGCATGCCTGATCTATTCTTTTCCTCCCTAAGTGGTAGTACTTTGCACTTTAAAATTTCAAGTTATATCTGTGATACAATATTTATGTGATATCTATACAAGATAAAATAAATCATTATTTTAGACCCATTTAGTATTGTTTAGTTGTTAAATGTGTTTTATCAGAAAACAATAACAAACACAATCATTATAGTAAGCAAAAATAATTTTGCTTACTTAAGTGAGGACACACTTAAGTCTTGCATTACTAGAAATATCAGACTAACAGTCACAAAACTTATCGAAGTGAAAGGAAGGACTTACATGAACACCGAACAATGGAGAGCCACATCCATTTGGTGGGGACAGTTTATATCCGTAGCGTGGGAAAGGCTTCGATCCTATGTAAAATACAAAGGATGTCCTATTTAGTTTAAGATACGGAAGAAATAAGATGCATATTTGTAAAGGTATACAATGTGCTTGGCTAGCCTTGAAGACATTTAATGTTTAGTTGGATGAAACATAATAATATATTTATTTTGATGAGTATTAGGATGATTGATCAAGGAATTATTTTTAGTTCTTGTGAAGAATGCCGAACATATGCAAATGTGCACATATATAGACGAATAGCAGCATTCATGAAGGTAATTGCTATTCATAAACATACATTGTCAAAACATGCAATAACTTGTCCTGGACCACTGGAGATCTCAAAGGGACACATGATACAGCATCACATGTGTCAAAGATCAACACAACCTGTCCTCTTACACCTCTAATGCTTGAGCTTCATAGGTAAAAGTCTGTAAGGCATGAATATTGTCCTAACCTCCAGCAAATCTTCCATTGCCCCCCCCCAAAAAAAACTTAAAAATCATCAACTACCAGGTACTTGGCTAGAGCCTAATCTAAGAAAGATGAGACTATGCAATGATAATCTAATACTTCTAGTATGCCATAGGGCACTGAAGGACCATACATTCTGCCTCCATTTTCTACCCCAAACTCAACATCATTTTACATGATGGACACTTTTGAGGGCAATAGAATATTCATTTTAACACAGCTTATGGAAGCTATCTATATCTGGGCTAAACTTTCAAACTGTAGCAATTTAAAAAAAAAGTCCTTTCTAAAAGTGAACTTCAAAAAGATCTACTCCTAGATGGTCATGGTGGTGCATGTCTTTAATCTCAGCACTCAGGAGGCAGAGGCTGGAGGATTTCTCCGAGTTCAAGGCCAGCCTGGTTTACACAGTGAGTTCCAGGACAGTCAGAGCTACATAGAGAGACCCTATCTCAAAAATATCAAAACATAAATAAATAGCTACCTGAGAATTTCTTCAAGAATTTCTGTAATTAGTTTTCTAGACCAGCTACAGAATTTTTTATTTCTATTTTGTTGGCTTTACTTAGTCGTCCACCATTGTTTCATCCACCATTGTTTAGTGAACTGTCTACCTAGAACTATCTGCTTAGTATTGCCTGGGGTCATAAACTTAAGCCATAGATATTAATCTGGACTGAGGCAAGCAGCATCTTGCTATAGGCGAATCCTCTCCAGCAGCAGTTATATTATTAATCCAAACCTTTGGGGAGACCACTCAGCCAGTGTGACTTCGCTTGAGTCAAGTGTTTGCAGTTTGCTGTTGTCATGGGACAATCATGAGAAACTACACATTTCTACCTATGTTTGAAAGCCCCGCTTAGAAGGCAGATGTCTTAGTTCATTTCTTTTTCTTTTTGGTGCTGGGGACTGACTGAACTCGGGGCCTTGAGAATATGAGGCCAGTGTTCTAGCCTGGGCTACACCTCCAGCCCAAGCTATATCCTGCTGCTAATATCAAAATAGCCGAGGTAATTTTTTTAAAGGAGGTTTATTTTGGCTCATATTTCGGGTCCAGAGTTCAGGAGTTGCAGCTAGTTAGTTAGCTAGCTATGGCCTTCTTGCTGGCTTCGTCCTCTGAAAGGGCAGAGCATCACATGACTAGAGACCAGCGTGGGAGAACCAGTCAAACAGGCTTGTACTGCACACTCAGTCACAAGATAACCCAATCGATCCATGAAGCAGACGCAGACTGATCTGATCAGTTCATGAGGACAGAGTCCGCTGCATCTCGTAACGTTTCATCTCTTAGTACTGCACCTTTTAACAGAGATGAAATTTCAGTTCCGGAAGGGACAAGCCATACTCAAACCATAGCAAGAAGAAAGGCTCAATAGGCAAAGTGTTCTTGGGGAAAAACATCCCAGTTCCTTAAACATTAGCGGAACGCTTTCTCTTGAACGGGTTTTAAGAGCGAGTGATTTCAGATGCTGACACACCTCTAGAGCAGTGGGTCTCAAGCTATGGGTCACAACTCCCTTGTGGTTAACAACACTTTCACAGGGGTCTCATATCCAATATCCTGTACATCAGACACTTACATTATGATTCATAACAGTGAATTTACAGTTCTGAAATAGCAATGAAGATAATTTCATGGCTGGGGGGTCACCACAGCATGAGGAACTGTATTAAAGGGTTGCAGCATTAGGAAGGTTGAGAACCACTTCTCTAGATGTATACATTAGTCAACGAGCCAGACTATGAATAATCTTTTTTAAAGCACTACAGATATGCTACAGTGTGTTCAAATCGTAAAAGAGGGCACTGACTATAGTCTTTCAGGGTTAACAACTGCTTTCGGTTCAGAAGCACACCACCTAAAAACCTGCCAGGAAGCTGAAGGAAAAGAGGAGGGGCTTAGCATTTGAAATGACAGCTTGTTCTGTTTCTACTTGTTTAGATGGTATGTACCTCCCCTTTCCCACCTGCAAGTCTGCAGACACAGCACCATTCGTATACAAAGATTCCCACCTCAGACTGCTGATGCAAAGCAAAAAAAGAAAAAAAAACACGGAAGGTAATTGAAGGCTTCTCATATCTTCTTAACTGTCTGCTTTTTTTTTTTTTTTAAAGAACTAGGAGTGTATTTCCTTTCCTGATCATACAACAATGCTTCCCTCTTTCCTGCTCTTTGTACCTTATCTAATTTTTCTCCATTCCCCATCTATGGGAATGCTTCCGGACATCTTGGTGACTGCGGTAGCAGTGAGCTGACGTAGGCCTGTAAGTATCCCACTAATGCAAGTGCACACTTCCTTCTTAAGAGATAACTGCCGTTGGACAAGAGGATGAGCAGAAGCAAATGAAGTTAGGGAAAATCCCAAGTAAACACGCCCACTCTGGAGATGCAGATGAGCAGGCGGCAGAGACGGCAGAGAAACTCCATGGGCGAATGAGAAAGTGGCGGTATGGAGTATTCCAGCGCTGAATAAGAAAGGTCCACACCCACCGCATATGAGACGCTGGAAAGAATACGATGCTGGGACGACTGCCTAATACTCTCGCCGAAAGGGGCATATGCACGTGTGCTTGGTTAGTTTGGGGTTCTTTGGAACAACTAACGGATGCCATTCCAGCTCACCCCATCTAAAAATAGCATCTTCGCTTCTGTATGAGTGTGCACTCCAAGGTTTTGCTTTCTAATGTCTCTGAGCCAAATTAGCACAACCGTTTCTTTGAGAACAGCTTTGTCCTCCTTTCCTAGCATGTAATGAGTGCAATTACTAGCTGAGAAAAATGGGAAATGCTCTGCCAAAATTTAAACTTTTTTTATCAATAGATGGACAAATAACCTACCACAAATATTAGAGGTAACTATTTTCCTGAAACAGCTCAGTGTTTTGAAGTTCCAAATTCACCTGTATATTAAAATATTATTTCAAGGTCTGAAAGATGGGTCAGCAAGCAAGAGCTCCTTTCCCTACAAACCTGAAGAACTGAGTTTGATCCCTAGATGCCACAGTGACAGGAGAGAGCCGTTTCTCAAACGTCAAGCATTGTCCTCTGACTTCCACATGTACACCATGACATGTTCATGTGTACATTCTCTCTCTCTGTCCCCTCCCCCAATAAATTACACGGACACATAATAAATAAAGTTAAATTTAAAAGATAATTATTTAGAACAAATTAAATAGAAAGCTACTTTTTAAAAAACTTAAATTGATTCACAAGGCCTGGAGAGCTGGCTCAGCAGTTAAGTACACTTGCTTCTCTTGCAGAGGACCCGGATCTGGTTCCCAGCTCCCATCTAAAGGCTTGCAACAGTCTGTAGCCCCGGGTTGATGCCCTCTTCTGGGCTCTGAAGGCACCACATGCACGTGATGAGCATACATACACACAGACAAAACACTCACACGCATGAAAAACAAAACAAAAATTGGGCCACTGTTCCCTCGGCCTGGGAAGATCTTTCCCTGATTATCACAGAGCAGTCTTGCTGCTGTCCAGTCCTGAGATGATGTTCTGTCCTGGAACATCCTATCTAAAGGGTCAACAGCTCCTAACACTTCCCAGGGCCACTGGGGCTGTCTCCCACTACCGCTTCAAGGCACTGGCTCACAGCAGATCAGTGAGCACACAGCTCTTTGATTCACTGCCAGCTTCTCCCAATCAGAGCATAAACTCCAGGTAAAGGGATTTCATCTGCCACTGCCGATTCCCCAGTCTACCAACCACTGACACGTGGTGAAGGCTAATATTTGCATAGTGGTCAGGAATTAAGTTAGAACTTTTGCCTTAGCAAAGTTATCATTTAATCCTTGTTACCCACGGAGTCCCCTAACACATTTGGTGCTCACTGGTGGAAATCTTCAGGCATAAACTTTAGAAGCAAAGGAAGATCATTAGGTCTATATGAACATAGAGGTGGAGGTTACCCACAGGCCCACGGGCTGCAGGTGGCATCACAGAGGCCCACGGGCTGCAGGTGACATTGCAGTTTTACAGGATAAAGGTTTTTATTAAGACCACCAACTCTACAGTCAGACTTTCTCACTAAAGTCCTGGATATCCCTACTATTTCCAGCTGGTAGCCTTGGCTAATCCCATAAGAAATTTGATTTCTTAGCTGGGTGTTGGCGATACACGCCTTTAATCCCAGCACTCGGGAGGCAAAGGCAGGCGGATTTCTGTGAGTTCAAGGCCAGCCTGGTCTACAGAGTGAGTTTCAGGACAGCCTCCAAAACAATACCGAGAAACCCTGTCTCAAAAGAAAAAAAAAAAAGAAAGAAATTTGATTTCTCAAGTTCTATCCCAACATTCTAAATTGCCAAACAGAAACCCCATACTCTCAAAACAATTCAGTTGCAAAACCACAAACAAACAAACAAACAAACAAAAACACCCTCCCAAAACCCAAATAACTGCCTTGAGTGCTGACTGTATTACCATCCACACGGCTATAAAGATTCCAACAAAACGTTTAAAACCATGAGAGGAATAAGCGAAAAACTACAATACTGGCAGAGAATAAGGAAGAGACACCACTGATTTCCAAGGAAAGAAGGTCACAAAATGGACAGGATGGTGCCATCCCAGCACCTGAGAGGCTGAGGCAGGAGTACAAGACCAGCCTCAGCCACACCAACTTCGATGCCAGTGTAGGCTACCCAGGCTCTCAAAAACTAAAACAAAACTTCAAGTTTTAATACATTGTTTTCTAGAAGCTAGCAGAAATCTCTCCTCCCTCAAAAACCAAGTGCACCGGAAATCTGTACAAAAGCCCCAACTTATTTTTCCTTAGCTTTGCAGGATAACAAATAAAGCACCGCTAATATCAACTGATTGCTTTAAAATTCCCGTTTGGCTTTATATGCTCAGCTGACTCAATCGCAAGACGTGTGTGTGTGTGTGTGTGTGTGTGTGTGTGTGTGTGTGTGTGTGTGTCTGACTCAATCGCAAGACGTGTGTGTGTGTGTGTGCCCGCGCTAAAATCAGTACGTTCCACTCCACTTCCAGGGTTCATACATCAGTAAGTTCTTAGGCAACTCCGTGCAATTGCCAGGAAAGAAAAAGGGGGGTGAGAAGGGGGGGGATCAGAAGCAGTGGAGAGCAGAGTACGCACTCCGGTGACCTCTCAGATTTGTTTCCAGATTGCTCAATCCCAAGGACAGCACGCTCCAAGCGCCACACATTCTTTCCACACCCGAGGTCTGCCTGGCACCTGTTCCCCCATCACCCTGTCCTACACTTGTCCCTCCATCCCCCGGTGCTGCATCTACGTCCCACCTCCCCGGGCCGGAAACTGTCCTCCCATCCCGTCTGGCACCTGTAGCCCTAAGGCCCGGTCCCGCACTCGTCCCTCCATCCCCCTGCCCTCTACCTGCCTCCCGTCACCCCGCCCCTTACCTGTCCCTCCCTCCCCTTGCTCCGTACCTGTCTCTCGTACCCCCGCCCCGCACCTGTCCCCCCCACGCCCCGGCCCCGCCCCCCGGCGGCGCACCGTCGCGGCACTTGTACTGGCAGAGGCCGTCCTCGCCGCCCAGCAGGTCGAGCGCGGCGTTGAGGTACGTGTCGATCTTGTGGATGCCGTTGCGGATGGTCTTGAGGGTGGCCCTCCAGTCGGTGGTCTGCTCCTGGCCTCGCGCGCTGGCCAGCAGCAGGAGCAGCAGCAGGAGCGCGGGTCCCCCGGCGGGCGCAAGCCGCGGGGCCGCCATCTGCGCGGCCGGGCGGCCGGGCTGGGCAGCGGCGCGCGCTCCGGCTCAGGTCCCGGCCTCCTCCGCGCTCGCGGGGTCGCGCCCCGTCACTGAGCCGCGCGGACAGGGGCGGGCGGGCGCGCGCCGCTCCCCGGGGCCGCGTCCCGCACAGTGCGCCTGCGCAGGAGCGCCGGAGCCCGAGGGTGAGCGGGCGGCTTCCTCGACCACGTGGTCGCTGGGACGCTCCCTTGGCTTTCAGTCCTACCTCTGTGGAGTCATAAAAACGAGCGGGCCCTAGACGTGGTCGTTGCTCTGGTTCAGCACCGTGCTGAGTTTTGTTTTTTAAGCTCTCCTCATGTCGAGCCACAGTGAAGAACGACCCCAGTGGCACAGCCTGGCCTTTTCTGAGCGTGGTCAGGACTCCACTGCAGGAGCTTCTTTGAGCACGTGACTGCCACGTACTCCACAGAATTTGGGTCCTCACGGGGACCTCATGACCTGCGGCAGTCTTAGCGCTGTAAGTTGCCGGTCGTCTGAGGGTCATTGACGGTGGACACACCCCCTTTTCAATGAAAGCAGTGGTTCTCAACCTTCCTGTTGCTGTGACCGTTTAATAATACAGTTCCTCATGTTGTGGTGACCCCCATCACAATATTATTTTCATTGCTAATTCAATACTGTAATTCACCAGTTATGAATCGTAATATAAACGTCTGATATGCAGGATATCTGATCCTTTCAATCCAAGGGTCCGGCCCACAGATTGAGAACCGCTGAGCTACAGCACTCCTCTAGTCCCTGTCCAATTTTAAGGAATCACAATCACCCTCCTTAAATTTTAAATACTGTAGTGAAAGGATAACCACAGATCAGGTGGCGAGGAAGCCGAGGTCCTTGGATGCTGCTCTAGAGTACAGTGGTGTTAACAGGTTGATACTGAGAACCACTGGGCCAGCTGACCTTTGAGGTCCCAACCAGCTTTACCACCAGAATTTTAAAGCAAGGCTTGATTGTTTAATTCTTCTACCAGAGAGATGTCCTGGTCCAGGAATATGTCATCCTAAACGGGACAGAATGCACTAAGATTGTGTGTAACCAGCCCACAGTTAAAACCCAAGGCCTGCCGGGCAGTGGTGGCGCACGCTTTTAATCCCAGCACTCGTGAGGCAGAGGCAGGCGGATCTCTGTGAGTTCGAGGCTGGGCTGGACCGACAGCCTCCAAAACAATACAGAGAAACCCTGTCTCGAAAAAACAAAAGAAAAACAAAAACAAAAAAAAAACCCAAGGCCCTTTTTGTTTATTTTTCTGGGACAGGATCTTGGCTTGTGGCCCAAGCTGCCCTCTAAATTGTCTTAAACACACCATCCTCCTACACGGGCCTCTCGAGTGCAAGGATCTTGCTCCAAGCCTCTCTCTTTTCTATGTCTTACACATCACAACTTGGTGTGCTAATGTCTTAACAGGAGCCTGTGCCCTGAGGACTCCGGCTTGCTGGCTCTCTCTAGGGGTTACATTCTCAAATGCCACATTCCCTGGGACCTTGTCTCTTCCACTGCACATTGTGCAGTTCCACTGAGCTCCCGTAGGACATCACAAATTCAGAGTAACCCAACTGGTTAGACCCTCTTCCGTTCCTCTGAAGAGGGAAAATGCGGGGAACTTCATTGTCTAGAGGTTTTTATAGGGCTGTGGCAGAGACTAGACAAAAGGTGAGCGATTCGTGAGATTTATTAGTTCTGTGAGCTATGATGCGCAGTGGAGGGTCCGTATGCTCTATGTGTTCCCTGTCCCAGTCAGAGAGATGATCACGTATCAAGTGCTGCCCACCCAGGAAGTGGGCGTTTGAAGCCCCACTTTGTCCATCTCTGACTCCAGCTTTGTGAGTATTTGCTGGTATTCAGGCATCTGTACTGGCCTGTCCTTGGGGTTCTGACAGGATACGCCTGCAGCTGCAGCCACTAAGAGCACCACCTGTGTACATTCACGACTTCCCCTTTTAAAAGGGCCCTGCCCACCTCCCATCCGCCTCCCTCTCTGCCTGTTTCCTATGCGGCTGCTCCTGTCCCCGGAGGCTGCTCTCCTCCCTCCCTTCCACTAATTAAAAAACAAAATAAAACAACAACAAAAACCCTCCACTTGAACTCTGTCCATGGCATCTTTCTCCAGCCGCCTTTAAAAAAAAATTACCACAGCATTACCATTGACTGTCTGCTGGCTGTTAGTTGAGGAGTATTATTACCACCCCCCACTCCATCCCCCACCCCTCTACCCCCCCAGACCTTGTTGGTGTCTCAAGGGCTAGTAATTACTTTTAGCTCTCTTTGTTCTCATAACTCAACAATAAGCAGCTGCAGATGTTCTGAGTTAACTCTTTGTCTTCAGGATGGCCTGGGGTCTTGTTCCTGAGAGAGGTGAGGTTTTCCTGCTAACATAGTTTGTTATAAAAGCCAGAATGATGAGGAGACAGTTGGGGCTGCTTAGTTTTGTTTCTGTCGATGTGATAAAGATCACGATCAGAGGCTACTTGCAGGAGAAAGGTCTTACATCTTCAGATCACAAGGAAGTAAGGGCAAAAAGTCAAGGCAGGAACCTGGAAGCAGGAAGTGAAACAAAGACCACAGAGACACCTACTTACTGGCTTACTCTTGATTTGTTCAATTCTTGTTCTTAAACATCCCAGGATCACCTGGGGCTACACCACCACCAGTTGCCCTGGCTCTCCCACATTAATCATTAATCAATAAAATGCCCCACTGACTTGTCTGCAGGCAATTTGATGGAGGCATTGAATCTATGTTTGCATTGAGCCGATCGCATTGGATTCTACGGTATGTAATTCAGAATCCTGAGAGAGACCTGTGAGCTGATAAAGCCCTGGAGTGAGACCATCCGGTTCCCACAGAACTTGGTCTTTTCCTACACGGGCCCCTTCTGAGACCCGACTCATTGCCCTTAGGAAGAACCTGACCCAGGCCTGCTCTGGGTTTTTTGTTTGTTTCTGCAGGTTTCAAGTCTCTGCAGAAGGGGTTCTGAGCCTGCAGCCTCTACTGCTTACATTCTCACACACAGGAGTCTTCCACACAAGTCCTGGAGCTGTAACAGCTCCCCAGGAGCATCTGGTTGCTACCATGAGTGCATGGCAAATTGTTTAGAGATGTTAACCGGAAGCAGACCATAAGTACCTCCTTTTTGTACTCATTGTCTGACTAAGGCAGTGTTTGGAGGAAGATGAGACCAGAACCCAGTTGGAGACAGATGTCTCCACTGACTGCTTCATAATGATGGCACTGATTTTAAAACAAATCCTAAAGTCAGTGAATGCTGAGTCACTGAACACCTCTGAATTAAGAGCAAGAGGGTGCAGCCAAGAAGAGGACAGATAAGGACTCCCATCCGTCTTACGATGTACTTTGGGTGACAGTTGGAAAAGAGGTAGTAACCCAATAAAAACAATACTAGGAGAATGATAAACGCTGCTGAGACAGCCAGCAGACAGTCAATGGCAATGTGATGGAGATGGAGCACTTGCTGTAGCCCCGAGAGGATGGTGATGTCACATGCGGGAGGGGGAAGCGGGGGAGAGCTTTACTTCTGAAATGGCTACTACTTGGTGGCACATTTAGTCTGCTATTTGAGGAAATGTGAAGGCCAGACACAAGGATTCGTGAGTCCAAGGTTCTACTCACCGAAAACTGAGGGAAGATGTTGGGGACTGCTAGAACCTTGAACAAAATGGTCTGTCAACCATTTCTTGGCCTTCTGCCTACGTGACTGCGAGCACACATGCCCTTGAGACAAAGGAAAAGGCTAACCATAAAAGTTAAATTTACACAGGGCAGCCCACCCACCTAGCCAGGGGGAAGTAACCCTTACAGAGCAATTGTCTTTGTTAACAAAAGGTTAAAGTGTTCCTTTGAATACTTCCTACCCCTCCCTAATTCCTGCACCTGACAAGCATTTGTGGAATGCGACTGATGACTGATGGAAAATTATAGCTTTGTCTTTACCGTATTTGGTGTATATTTGAGTTGAGACTTGAGTGACATGCTTGTAGCACACCCTGAGGTTCTTCCTCTATAAGTTCTAGCTCGCCCCAAAAATAAACACTCTTGATCAGCAAACGTTGTCTTGAGCCTGTTTCCTTTAACCTCTTGAAGTTTACTTTTCAGATCGGATCTGCTCGTGAAGGCCCACCAAATTAGTAGCGACCCTCATCACCTCATCCCCGAGGGTCGGGGGTTCCTTCCCGGGGGTCACAGGAAGATGCAGAACCCATAGAAAGAACAAAATAAAAGAAGCAACCAGAAGCACGTGGCTGGCAAGGAGGCTGGCTAACGAACCGGAGAGCCAGTCTGCTGCTGCTGACAGGAGAGGAGTCAAGTGGCTGTGACAGTGTGGGGGGCTGAGGAGGGGTTTCCAGAAAGGGTGTGGGGAGGAAAACGTTCTAGTACTTAAGAAGCAGAAGCTGGGACAAGAGCTAGGAGGCGTCACTGCCCTGTAGCAGGACTGTACCAGGGTTTTCACAGTTTCTTATTGTGGACTGTCCTATAACATTCCTCCTTCCAAAGGAAGGAGAGGCGTTCATGAAGGTCAGGACACTGAAGAGACTCACCAGACTCAGGAAGCTCAGAAAGGTCCAAGATTCACAAGGTCCTTCTCCGAGGTAGTGTTAGCAGTAAACAATGGTTTCCAGAGGAGACTGTCTTTCATGGAATTGCCTACAAATTGTGTGGGAGCCCCAGAGATGCAACTTCTGTGACTTGTCACCCATGTTTCGCTGAGCCTGTTGGTGACCCAGCTGCCTTAAGTTGATAACCCATGCATTAAGGAATCCCAATATATTCACTGGTTCACCAAGTTAGTTTTGAGTGAATAATTTCTTTGGTCTTCAGTTGGTGTCCCATCTGGGATGAATAGATACTTGTTCATGTCTCCCCAGGGAAAAACACAAAAAAAAGAAGGAAAACAATACACAAAGAAAATAAACAAATGACAGATTTGTAGCTTGAACAGTCTTGTGAGTTTCCAATGTCACAAAACTATCTCAGCCTTTACTGTAGTCAAAATATTATTCCTGCCTGAAGAGCTAATCTAGTCAAACTTTCTGTAAATCATATTTGTGGGTCGAAGGTTCATCTGAGTGGTGCTAACACTGAAGAACAAACAAAAATAAAAAAACTTGTATGCTTAAGCAGAATATTTATTTGGAAATTATACAGCAGAATTATAAAATGGCATGGACTTTGAAGAAACCTTTAGAACTGGCCAATAAGACTTGCTCTTGCCAGCTCTGAGAACTAATTACAGTTTCATTTTAATTAAAACATGACTCCTGGATTAATAAATGTAGAAAGAAGGAGGTCATAGCTTCAGACATTGTGTTGAGAAATAAGGGGTCTTCCCACGTGATAGCTAATCCAGTCAAAATAATTAGCCACTCTGGTGTAAACACCTGGATATTCTGGTTTTCCACAGTTTTCACCCCAGCTCACAATGCCCCAAACGTAAGTCACATTGTTGACATCCATGCAGACCAAGGGGCCTCCAGAGTCTCCTTTGCAGGCATCGATGGACCCATCAGCAGTACCTAAGAGAGAAAATCAGTTTCCTTCCATTTGTCAGGGCCACAGCGTCTGTTTCCTCCCTCTGACACTGATGCATGAAAGACTTGTACTTTTAAAAAAAACTTTCCTGACAAGAAATAACAGACTGCCCTAGTTCCCTCTTGGGATTGCAGATTGAGATGCAGCACAGGAAATAATCCGTAAACCTCGTGCTTTTTCCCTAGGTTAGCATGGTCCTCCTGCTTAGCACTTGTACTTTTCAGCACTGTGTAAGGAGGTAGAGCTATGAGCCGGAAGCGTGAAAAGCAGACTGACGCAATGCATCCCAGGTCTCCCACTTGGCACTTACCTGCACATTGCATTTCTTTCTCATAGTAACGAGTTGGGTAAAACTGAGAGCAGTTGCCTATCAGGGTAACTTCGCCCCACCTAAGTGAGTAGACTTTTTGGTTATCTACACAAAGTGAGAAAACAGACATTTAGAAGCCACAAATGAGAAATCTAAATAAAGGTGGTCATAACTTAGTAAACCACTATGAAGATGAATTGATATACATTATTATATATATTAATTACTGAGGATACTTCCTTAGCATATTTACCTCATATCCTCTTCATAGCCCTAGTTTCTAGAATTATCTTTCTAAGTTTAAATGAACAGTGAAGGAAGGTTATTGAACACTTGGCCTGAAATCACAGCCATTCAGAACAGAGCGGACCCTTATGATTGAGGAGCAACCCTGTCCTAGTCCTGGGTTCGGTAGGGGAATGGTGTAGAAGTCAGTGATGGGGCTAGCTCATGTGCACATCTTTGATGTCTTTTCTTACAGCCTTCAAGAAGTTAGAAGTAGAAGTTGTCAAAGTGTGCGTGTTTTGTGCCTGAGTAGGTGCCTGTTTAAGTGATGAACAAGGAGGCAGAAGTTCGTCACCTTAAAGTGAGAGTCTGTGGCCTGGAACATCTTTGGCCTGTGGAAAGAGAGGGGCCATTTGCTACTGAATGGTGGACCACAGGGAAAGAGAGAAGCCTAAGCACACAGGGCAGATGGAGGGGGTGGGGAGTGAGACTTTGCCCCGTCTCCCCTCTTCTGTTTTCCAGCTCACAGCAATTCTGTTCCACAGTGTTCCATTCAGTGTCGGCTTACTGACTACCCAGAGATCCAAGAGCTCAGGGATTAGGCCTGCCTCATTCCTCACCAACATCCAGAATCTTCTTACACAAAGTAGTTGCTTAATAAATACTTAATGTAATTAGTGACTGCATAAACTCGCAGTAATTTAATTACAGACATCTTACACATTTCTGATGCCCCATTGCTCTCCTGCCTTCGTCTTAGCACGGTGCTGAGCAACACAGTATATGGAACTCTCTCAGGAGGTCCATTTGACACACCTCTCAAAGTCAAAAATGAAGTAAATCTCTTTGGCCTCAAGGATGGTCTTAAACTCTTAATCCTCCTGCTTCTGCTTCTGGGGTTATAGTTGTGCACTATTACAAGAACACACTTGGTTTTTTGTTTTCAGCCCTGGGGATCAAACCCAGAAACTTGCACCTGCTAGAGACGTGCTCTAGAATTAAGTGACAACTCCAGTTTCATGTGGTCCTTCTGTTGTTGGGGTTCTGAGCAGTTACTCCGAGTGTGAGCCCACGCACGCAGCCCTTCCTGGATGGGTACTCACTTTTCTGCACATGGTATTTCTCTGAGTACCAGAATGGTTTCCATACATTTCTAATCCACTTCCCAACCCCAGAGGTAAAACATATACCTTTCTCTCGACCCCATCCGGAGATGATGCATTTATCATTCGGTTGGAATAGATATGGAGACCATGGGACACAGGCCGGGACAGAATTAGAGAGCTCACATTCTTTCTTGCCTCCAGACCTTTTCATTTCAATCAAAGCTATGTCATTTTGGTATGTGGCTCCATCATATTTTTCATGAACAATAACTCTGCTCACTGTTTGAACTTTCAACTGAGAGTTGGGATTTAGCCAGTCTAATAATGCTGTCCATACTTGGTAATTGCGGTATCTACTAGGTCTGTAAGAGAAAGCAAAGGGAAATGAAATATATCAAAGAAAAAGCTATGAATTTTGACACTTCATCCTTATAGTCTTCCATTTAAAGGATAATTTTCAATTTCTGAATGTTTTTATCCTTGTTGATGTGAAGCTATAAAATTAAATTTAGTTGGGGCAGCATTAGCTGAGTGGTAAATGGACAGAGTGATGATTCCCCAGCTGTTCCTCTGACCTCATTATCTAAACTCTCCAAACAATGAAGTATGTCACAAAATGAATTGTCCATAAGCAAAAAACTTCACCATTTACATCATCTTAAATTACATCTGTATATCTTTTGAAAGTCATCTATAATCTTCTGTTTTCTCATCAAATAGCATAAACTGAACAGAATTTGTCTTCCTATTATAATGACTCAGACAATCACAGTACAGTTCAACAGCAGTGTCCTAGGAGACATTGTGATGTTTGGATGTTTTTATTATGCACAAGTGTTCCGAGAATGCTGTCGCCCTCATTAATTTGGGTCGTATCATAGTCTCAGGGATCATAAATATTTCTTGAAGGTTAGTTTTGTTTATATGACTTGCTGGGCACATATATAGTGTTTACCAACTGCATAGACAAGGCGTTATACCAGGCACTGGGGTGCAGAAGTTAGCAAAACCAGAAAGCATTTAGAAAATACGCATCACCAAATGGGTGATCACAACAATGATAAGATATAGACTGTGAGAAGTGAGAGTAGTGGCTTTTAAAAATTTACTAGGAGGGCTTTGATTGAGAGCCTTCAGGGAAGATTCCATAAGGAGGTAAAGGGTTGACTTGAGATCTGAGTCAAGAGCCCTGTTAACTAAGTCAGAGGTCAAGGCAGGGAAAGAATACATGAAGGTCCCCTCACAGAAGGAACAACATCTGAAGCCCAGAGAGAGTGGATCAATGGGCAGGGGTGGTCCTGTGTATGCAACTGGATGAGACTGATAGAGAGGAAGGCCAAATCATATGAGGCCTTAGATGATTTATATGTGTTGACGTTTGTTGAGATGCTTATTTGGAGAGAACTGCAAAGCCCTTGAGTTGACATGGTCACACAGTAGAGAACAGACAGGTGGGCCCGTGGGTAGGCAGGTGCATGTAGGTAAGGCAATTGGAAGCAAGTCATGTCATCTAGATTACAAGCAGAAGCAGGGTGATAGTGGAGGAGATAAAGCTGGAGGAGGGAGTGAATAGAGAAAAATTAACATTCAGAATGCCTGTGCAGCAGGGCAGTGGTGGTGCACACCTTTAGTTCCAGCACTTGGGAGGCAGAGGCAGGTGGATCTCTGAGTTCAAGGCTAGTCTGATCTACAATGTTACACAGAGAAACCCTGTCTCAAAAAAGAATGCTTGTGAAGGTTGAGATTGTGAAATATGATGGTTCTTAGATTTCTAGCTGCATTAACCATATAAATAGTGTTTCTTAAGACAGGAACAGGACAATCTTTAAGAGAAGTGTCATATAAACTAGGCCTTGGACATGTGGGATTCAGTGCTCTCTGTCTCTGTGTGTGGGAGGGTGTGCGCACACACATGCTTATGTTCACGTGGGGGGGCAAATATATTTGCAGGTCATGTGTATGTGTGCATGTGCAGACCAGAGATTAATCTCTGCATTCACTCTAAATTCCAGACTGAGGTAGGAATCCTGAGTCTGTCAAAGGTGTGACTGGTCTTCAGTAGGTAAGCATTCTCTGACTCCCTGTCAGCTGCTCTTAGTGATTGCAAGTCTGTCAGAAATAACCTGCTGCACTTTGAGAATCCTCCCAATAGCAACACAGGTGCTACCCCTACCTGGTACAATGCCTTGCCTTCAAAGCAGCTTCAAGTCATGGACACATGTAAATAATTTAGCTAGACTCAAAGAATGAGCCAGCCAATGATGGGTCAGTATATCAGATAAATAGCATTAAGCTTTGGATATGTCCTTTATGACCTAGAACGTGTTAAATTCATTTCAGGGTATGTGGATTTGAAAAAGTCGTCTGTGATTGTGGAGTAAAACTAGTTCTTTAATGTCCTTGTTCTGGAAAGACCAGAGGGGATGACAGGTTAGTATCACTCTGTCATAAATGCTCAGTCATAAACTCTTCCGGACAGTTTTGTCCTAGTTCAATGAGACAAATAAGGTCATACAGTATCTAAGCTCCACTCTCTCCAGAACACAGTAGATTCTGAGGGACTGGTCCCTACAGTCTAGGTCATGAATACCAGAAAAATAAACTCTGATAACAAAGTAAAACACATTTTCTTATATAAGCTTGTATCCATTACCTGTCACCATCTCTATTGTTTTATTTCTTATGCTTCAAGAAATCTAAAACATACTGAAGATATTTTTACCTGACACAATGTGCAGCAGTCAGAACCCAACAGCCACCAATATAAATTCCCCCACAGGTGATTCTTTCGCCATCCTTAATTGCCACCTGCCATGGGTATTCTCCCTGTAAGAGACATTTTGTGGTTACTGCCCTTCTACTGGATGGTGTCATAAACAGGCAACCCTAGGACATGTCCACTATGGTCTCAGTCTCCTGTGAGCAGACCATGCCCTCCTTTTGTCTGACTCAGGCGATCCTTGGAGGGATTTGTGATTTTCATGCAGGCTTACCACCTCTGCTGGCTTCCCTCCAACCACTCTTTTCCTTCGAGTGTGTGTGCTTCTTTTGACTCCACAGGATAGTTTAGGTAACAAGGACTTTATCCGTTGTCTTTCTTCAAGAAAGAAGAGATCGTATCATTATTTTCTAGAAACTATTATCTTGTGAATAGACACTTCTTGGTTCTATCCATCTTCTTTCTATCTATCTATCTATCTATCTATCTATCTATCTATCATCTCTCTCTGTGTGTGTGTGTGTGTGTGTGTGTGTGTGTGATATGTTTATACGGGTGCATCCACACATATCTATCTGAGACCAGAGGTCAACCATCAGATGCCTTCCTCAGTCACTTTCCACCTCATTTTCTGAGACAGTCAGTCGCTAAACCTGGGATTCACTCATTGGCTGGGCTGGCTGGCCAGTGAGCTCCAGTGATGTGCCCCCCTCCTTCACCCCTGCACTGCCATTACAGACATGCACCACCACCAGGCCTTTTACATGGGTGCTGGGATCTGAACTCAGGTCCTCCTGCTCATGAATAGATTACATATGTAATACATATTTACATATTACATATGTATGTAGTCAGGATGGAAAGTCCATCTTGCCATCTCACGAACTTCTATCTAATTTGGCTTGGCTCTTGGCGCATGGCTGCCCAGGGTACAGGCTGTCAGAGGCTTCCTGTCACAATGATTTATAACATGGGGAAAGGACAGATTCTCTCTACTAATGTGGATTATCTTCCATTTCAGAAGATGGATTGTATGTCGTGCTTGAAATCAAGTTAATTTGGAAAAAACTAAACTGACAAAGCTCTTCTCTGTTAGGAAAAATTTTATGTAGAACTATAGTAATATTTGACGTTGGTCGTGTGAACTACACTGGCTTTAAGATCATTTCTCAAGAATAACATGAGTCTGCTTTTCCTAAAAGAAATGGGGAAATAGAAAGAAAGTGTTACTTTTTTCCTCTTAACCTATAGCAAAGTTAATTTTTGTTTGAATTGATTGTACATTTAATATATGAATACATATTATATAGTATGTGTGTATATTATACACAGGATATATACATACTTGCTACTAAAGTGCTAGCTGAAACCATCAAAAAAAGTTAACTCACCTATGTCCATATCAGCAGTCAAAATTTCTGTTTCTTCAGTTTCCCCTCCTGTGATAGAACAACAGAAAATTGAAGTAGTTAATGTCTCTAGAGACATCTAGAGAAAATTCATTCTTAAAGTAACTTAACTCTGTAATTTTAAATACTGCCCTCTTCTTTTTATAGACAAACTCCCCAAGCATATCATTTGGTTTCCTTTCTATAGCTGGACAACTGGAAAGATGCAGGTGAACCCTATAGAAATCCCTGCTGCTGATGGGGTGTCTGTTGGTGCAACTGAGTGGCGAGACTCAGGCTCTGAAGACAAAATACTCCATCAGGAAAGAGAACTTCCTTTCTGCTCTCTCACTCAAATCTTTATGTGAGGAAGAGAACAGCCATTGGTCCTGACTAGGGAGTCCACATGGGCATTAAATGGGCCGCCCTACATTGCACATCACAAGGTGCCTCCCTCAGGGGCCGTGCACCTAGAGATATCTTAATGACTTTCCTGTAGGAATGGCTAGCTAGCATTATGATCTGGAGTGCAAAAATCAAAGAAAAGGGTGTCCTGATTCCTTAGGCTTTTATATAGGTCTTTCCACCCTGCCATCCCAGGACACCTACCCGCATGTTGCTCTGTTGGGGTGAGGATAAAGCTGGGGACAGAACAGTACACTATAGCAATTTCACTTAGACACACTGGACTTGGATTTTGTTCCCGGGTTTCCCAAGTTCTTTTTGGAACAGACATAGAGGAGTTGTGCCCCAGGGCATGAAGTGTTCTTCTCAGAGATATTCATATGAGTGCATGTATGAATCAGAGAAGACTCAACATTAAGTGATCAGCAAAGGCAAGTAGGAAAGTCAGTGCAGCTGAAGAGTTCTGGGCATCAGAATAGCACGAAGCTGCAAAAGCACAGCCATGGGGAAATGATTGATGCCTTTGGTGACATAAAAGCTAAGGGTTTCGTTTTTTACATTTGTGTGTGTGTGTGTGTGTGTGTGTGTGTGTGTGTGTGTGTGTGTAGCACATGTGTGGAAGTCAGGACAATGCAAGAGTCATTTCTCCTTCCACTAAGTTCCTGGAGGTTGTACTCAAGTAGTCAGGTGTGATGGCAACTGGTTTTTATCCACTAGTCCATCTTCCTGATCCAAAACTAAGAATTTCTTTTCAACAGATGTCATCATGGATGAAGCTAATAAACATGGGAGGCAGAATGAGATGATATCTGTGGTGTCTAAAGCTAGCAAAGGGTTACTATCCAGACTGTAAAGGGGGCTCCTTCAAATCAGTGAGAGAGAAGCCTGCAGTGAAAGAAATGTAAACTTAAGCAAAGGATGTGAGCAGATGAGAAGATGTGATGGTGAAGGAAAGGAAAAGTTGGGAGGAAAATTCTCAGAAAACCAGTGTGAACTTGACCTGAGCCCTTGGCTATTACCAGAGTCCAAGGAAATAATTAATGCATCGCTTGGCAGTTGGCAGCTAGCTCAGTGTGAAGATGGAGAGTGTTATATGATGGTGGGTGGAGAGAAAGTTCAGACAGGGTAGCTGGATATGAGAACTGTTACTTAACGGCTCTGGCAAAGAACATTCATGTGCTATTTGTCAGTTAAGGAGTTGCTTACCACAAGACTTAAGCCCTTGCCAGGTAGATGTCTCAAAGGAATTCATACATTCTGAAGAAGATGTTTATCACAGTGCAGTGGTGGGCTGAGAGTCCATTGCTCAGAAGATTGAGTAAATTGGAAAGTGAGCATGCATTTTATGTGGCAGCTAGAAGCAACAGAGTAGATAAACACAGGGCAACATAGACAGCCTGCAGATGCAGTGCTTTGAAAAAGAAAGGAAAGGAAACATAAGATCTCCAACACAATGGAAGATGTGTGATCAGCAGATTGCAGTGTGCATTGGAGAAGAAATCGCACTAGCAAAATGATACGTACATTCAACCGCACTAGAATGGTTGGCAGGAAAACGGGAAGTAGGGGTAAGAGATAAGCAAGACGGGCCTAGAAAGAACTAGTCATGGCCACATGAAAAGACCTGAGAAGTATCATTAATTCACACCCACCTGTGTTACTGGTGTCTGAAGATAGAGAAGGAGGAAGGAAAGAAGGGAGAAGAGGAGGAATGAATGAGGGGTGAACAGCAGCTTCAGAGGGGAGGGGTGAAATGACAAATGAGATGGGACACGAGGCATGCACTGAGAATTGACATTTGGGGCAAGGGTCAACTCTGAGATGGCTCATCCCTAGGAATCCTAAGAAATTCTGAGGAAAGCCATCAACTTTTGGCATTAAGTGTGTTGGGGACTTGAGTCATTTTATATGAATAACTAAGCAAAGAGTGGCTGGGGCAAGTAGGGGTGGGGGAAGAGGCTGGAGAATCTAAATCACACTTTGTTTGAAAATGCCATAATGATAGCTAATACTTTGTATGCTTTTTTAAAAAAGTGGCTCCACAGAGTTCAAGGGGAAAGCTGGCTTATAAAATAAGTATCAAAACATGAAATGTTTTCTGTTTCTTCTGGTGCACTCTCTTTACGAGCTTGGTTTAGAGGGAAAGAGACAAGGAAGGTATTGAGCAAAGGGGGAGTGTGCAGGGAAGCACCCACAGTGTGAGGGTTTCCCATTGGTCTGACTGAAAGCTCATCACGATGACAAAGACCTCTGCTCGCCAAACTACCGAGAAAACTGGGGTCTTGCTTGCACACGCTCATATCATACTCAGCTCTTATAAAATATAGGAAGTCAAATATCACCTGCTTTTGTACTATCCCGAGATTTTAATAAATGCTTACCTTGGTCTTGATCTGAACGTGCAAGGTCTGAAGAAAGACAAAACACAAAGGCAGAGTTTTACCACAGTGAAGAATAACTTTTTTACTGGGGGAAAAATAAACCTCACATCACGTTATTACTCATATACTCCAAACTAGAATTATAAATTTTCTATTAAAAATGGACTTACCATCATGAATTTGAGAATGTCTGGTTTCTAAAAGCAAAGCATTAGCATGAAGAGATTATTTTTGTTTAAGTAAAAAAAAAAAGCATGCAAGGCTGGGCATTGGTGGGTGCAGGTATTTAATCCCAGCACTTGGGAGGCAGAGGCAGGTGGATCTCTGTGAGTTTGAAGCCAGCCTGGTCTACAGAGCAAGTTCCAAGACAGCCTCCAAAACAATACAGAGAAACCTTGTCTCGAAAAACCAAAAAATGAAAAAAAACATGCAAATCATTAAAGTTTCAGAAACAATGTAACAGTTTAAAATTAATAGGAACAAGAGGTTGAAAAAATGAAGCCAAATAGCATGCCATTTATCTTAGTGTTAATTCTAATAAGGTTTTTATTTTGCATTTAAACATAACAAGTTCACTCCAGCAAGAGAATTATTTTAAGTTTAAAAAGAGATTAATATTTTAGATACATCTGCACACATACTCAAAAGGAAACTTAGTTTACAATTCTATGAAGTTATAGTTATTTTTAACTTGCACTAACAAAGATGGGGGTATCCTGCTTGTTTTTTGATAACTTGACAGAAACCAGATTAATAGGAGGAGGGAATCCTAATAGAGAAAATGCCTCTGGGAGACTGGCCTACGGTAGGTAGACACGTCTGTGGGTGTTTTCTTGATTAATGGTTGACGAGGGAAGGCCAGTCCACTGGACACAGTGCCACCCTGGGCAAGTCCTGAGTCATGAGAGAGCCATGGAGAACAAGTCCTCGAAGCAAGCCACCAAGCAGCGTGCTTCCAGGGCTTCTTCGGTTCCTGCCTTGAGAGTTTTAGGGTGGGGGTGTAACCTTTTCCTTCCCAGATCGTTTTTGATCATGGTGCTTTTATTACAGCAATAGAAACCCCATGGAACTTCCAAGAGGTAAACTAAATCCAGAGATGACACAAAATTGCTTTGATTTAGTGATTTTGATCTGGCCACTTAATAGTCAGTGAGCATATTAATTAGGCATCTCTGCTCTCACTTTCTTTACAAGGGAAACAGTTAGAACCATTTCTGGAAGTTAAAGGTGGTACTCATTCCAGAGTTGGGAAATTGAACTAACAATTATATTTTACTAAGTATAGAATATATATATTTAATTTTTGTAGGAAAATAAGCTTTGTGTTTTATGTAGTTACTCTGTTGCAGTTTTTTCCCATGAAAACTAATAAATTGTATTCCTTGACCTTAATCCTCATTGTTTTAAATAGAGGACGAGAAGAAACAAGAGGAAGACATGGGGAAAAGGCTGAGACATTCCACTGACAATGAAACTGTGTGACTTCAATTGCAACATGGCTCACCATTCACCTGCTTGTAACCTTTTCCTTTCTTGCTTCCTTTGCTAAAGGACTGAACTAAATTGAATAAAAATAAAGGTACTTTACTTCAACTTCTCAGATGTTCTTTAACAGAAATGATTAAGAGGGCTGGAAAGATGCTCGGGGGTTAAAAGCACTGGCTGCTCTTCCAGAGGTCCTGAGTTCAATTCCCAACAACCATATGGTGGCTCACAACCATCTATAATACAATCTGGCATGCAGGTTTACATGTAGAGCACTCATACATAAAATATAAATAAATAAAATAAAAAGAAATGGTTTGATCCGATACCCTTTAAAGGATTTTAAAATATACAATATACTTTATCAAAATTTTTTTTTCAAACTGAGTGGTGGTGCATGCCTTTAATCCCAGCACTCAGGAGGCAGAGGCAGATGGATCTCTGTGAGTTTGAGGCCAGCCTGATCTACAGAGTGAGTTTTAGGACAGCCAGGGCTACACAGAGAAACCGTGCCTCAAAAAAAAAAAACCCCAGTTTTTTTTCATTTGACATATTCTGAACATGGCTCCCCTCCCCAAACTTCTCCAAGATCCTTCTCACCTAACTCCATGCCATTTTCTCTCTGTCTTTCTTAGAAAAAAAGCAGGAAAATAAACCAGAATAAACACACACACACACACACACACACACACACACACACACATACATGGAGGGAGGGAGGGAGGCAGAGAGGGAGGCAGGGAAGGAAGACAAGAGAATATGCTTAAGAACTGGTTGTCTCAATTTCCTTCCAGGTTGCTGTCATGATTTCCCTGACAAGCAGGTTGGAGCTGAAAGGGTTATTTTAGCTCACAAGTGCAGGTTACAATCCATCATAAAAGGGAAGGAACTGGCCATATCACTTCTATAATCTGGAACAGAGAAGAACCCGTGTATGCTTGCCTATACTCAGCTCTCTCTGTCCCCTCTTACACAGTTCAGAACTGTCTGCCTAAGGAATGCTGCCACCTACGGTGGACAAGTTTTCTCCTCTCACTGTGATCATGATAACCCCCTACAGACATGTCCACAAACTGGCCCCATTTAGTCAATTCCTCATTGAGATTCTTTTCCCAGGTGATTCTAGACCGTGTCATGTTGACAAGCAAAACTGATATTAATAGAAAATTAAAAGTTCAGTAAGTCCAATACTAGAACATCAAATACTATCCAAACATAATATCAATCCATTCATATATGTTAACATTTATTTACTCCTTACATTTGAGAAACTTGTCCTGGGACATTGGAATATGAAAATAGTTAAGTTGACTCTACTGAAAAGATGAACACCCTGACAAACATGTGTATAACAGCTATAGGAAACAGTTACAAATACCTCAATGGGTGCTGGAGCTGCCTGCTCCATTCTAGAGAGTTTGTTTCACCCATAGTTTCCTAGCTTCTGCCCATGACAGCATGGCAACAGCCTGGAATCCCCCGTGGTGAACATAAAACTGGCAAAAGCCACACATCAGGTTTTCTTTCTCCCCACAGCTGTTGTAAACATTCACAGGCGGTGCTAGAAAAGTCCCATAAGTCGGGCGTTGGTGGCACACGCCTTTAATCCCAGCACTAGGGAGGTAGAGGCAGGTGGATCTCTGTGAGTTCGAGGCCAGCCTGGTCTACTGAGCGAGTTTTAGACAGCCTCCAAAACAATACAGAGAAACCCTGACTCGAAAAACAAAAAAGCAAAACAAAACAAGACATACGTGTGATGCACATGTGGGAGTCAGTAGACAAGAGCTCTCCTCTTTCATCACGTGGGTCTCAAGTATTGAACTCAGGTCAGCAAGCTTGACAGCAAGCACTTTTTACCCACTGAGCAATCCCACTGTTCCATAGGTGTAATTTTTAAATCAAGCCAAATACATACATAGAGACAATTGCTTCTCATCATTTCCATGCCTAGAAAATTGTCCTAGGTACTTTGATCGCTTCCCTACATTACTGTGATGTTTCGGTGCTGGGTCCCTGTGTCTCCCCTTTCCTCTGTAAAGCCCACTCCCCACCTAATCATAAAGGTAATCTCAGTTTAAATGTCGATCAGATCATGTTTATCCGCTCATGTAGTGGCTCCTCACTTTCCTCACAGCTTCTGCCCATCACACCAGGTGGCTTGTTCCTCAAACACTGGAACTTTCCTGCATCAAGAACACTCCACTGGCTGTTGCCTGGGACACTCTTCTGTGGACACCTGCTTGGTGGCCTCTACCATTTCCTACATCTCATCATCTGGAAGTAATTCCAGGGTCAACTTATCTAAAGTGTCGGCACCTATCCACTCAAAGTTATACTTCCTGTCTTTGCTGTATCTTTCTTCACAACACTTACAAATTGTCATATTTATTTAGGGTGTGTGTGCATGCATGTGTAATATATAGGCATGGTGGTTTTAAAATAGGAATGGCTCTCGTAGGCTCATATATTTCAATGCTTGGTCATTGGGGAGTGGTGCTACAAAAGAGGGATTGGGAGGTGTGGCCTTGTTGGAGGAAGTGTGTCTCTGGCAGTGGGCTTTGGGGTTTCAAATGCTCAAACCAGGCCCCAGTGTCTTTCTCTCTCTTCCTGCTGCCTACCAATCAGATGTAAGACTCTCAGCTCCTTCTCCAGCACCACATCTTCCTGCATGCTGCCATGCTTCCTGCCATGATGGCAATGGACTAAACCTCTGAACTGTAGGCCAGCCCCAATTAAATGCTTTCCTTTACAAGAGTTGCCATAGTCTCTGTATCTTCACAGCAACAGAACATTAACTAAGACAGTGGGTACACATGCCACAGTGTGTGTTCAGCGAGGACAACCTGGGCATTGAACTCAGGTCGTCACGCTGAGTGGCTAACACCTTTACCCACTGTGCTATCTCAATGACCTCCTCATAGCACTTTTGATTTCACTTCATGTTTCCCCGTTTCTCTTATTTGCTGTCTTTCTTCTTCCACTGAAACTAAAGATACGTAAATAGTAGACATATTTATTTATTTATTTTTAGACAAAGTTTTGCTGTGTAGCCCTGGATGCTTTGGAGCTTGCTAAGTAGGCCACACGACTTCAAATTTACAGCCATTCCTCTGTCTCTGCTTCTGGAGTGCTGAGATTTCATGTCTTGTTGAGTAGGGATTGGTAAACGGTATGCACTGTTGTGACCTTGGTATGTAGATCAGGGCCAGGCATGTAAAACAAGTATTCACTTAGGAAAGAATGAATGTAATACTGACATTTTTCCTTCAAAACTCATAGATGAGAATCAAAAGTCAGTATGTGTGGCACAGACTAGGTGGCACAGACATGATAACTACTTTTTTAACCATTTGGAGTTGTTCAAAGCATTGATACATTGGGACTGGGTGAATAACAAGAAAGCATTACACATTATTATATATTTCTACTATGAAATGAAACAGTGAAAGAAAGTTTACTCCTAGATAATTTCAGTCCATAAGTACAGAAATAATGATACAATTAGAAACAAACATTTTATAGCTTCTTGCTGACATAATGGATGTAGACAATAGTTTCAAGTCTGCTAAGTTATAGGTGAATGACTTTGGTGGAGCTTTTCAATGCAGACATCAAACTCACTTGGGCCAATATTAGCATTAGCAGAAATGAGGTGACAAAGACTTCACTCTAACATCTCATCAAGAAACCAAGCCTAAAATATTCAGCCATGCATCTAACCAAGTCTATGAATCTAGAATAAGGCATTATATAGGAAGGTTATCAAAGCAAAAACAAAATCTCAATGATATAAAAAAAATGGAGTGAGTAGGTTGGGAATAGCTTAATAAAAAAGCCATTTTAAAAGTTAATAAATGTTCAGCCTACCACAAGACCCAGCAATTCCACTTTTAGGCATATACCCTAAGGATGCATATTCATACAACAAGGATGTCTGTTCCACTATATTCATAGCAGCATTATTTGTAATAGCCAGAACCTGGAAGCAATCTAGATGCCCCTCAACTGAAGAGTGGATAGAGAAAATGTGGTACATTTACACAATGGAGTACTATTCAGTGGGAAAAAAACAATGGAATCTTGACATTTGCAGGCAAATGGATGACACTAGAAGAAACCATTCTGAGTGAGGTAACCCAGTCAAAGACAAACATGGTATGTACCCACTCATATATGGATTTTAGACATGGATCAGGGGAGTGCCAGCCTACAATTCCACTGACAGAGAATCTGGGAAACAGACCTTCAACCAATACTGTTGGAAGCAGAGGCAGACACTCACAGCTAAACACTGAACTGAACTCAAGGAACCCAGTGACAGAGAGGGAGGACTAATGAGCATAGGGGTCAAGACTGGGCTTGTTTAACCCACAGAAGTAGCTGACCTGAACAAGGGGGAGCTCTTGAACCCCAGACTGATGGCTGAGAATCCAGCATGGGACTGATCCATACCCCCTGAATGTGGGTGTCAGTGAGGAGGCCTAGGCAACCTATGGGGCCTTGGATAGTAGATCAGTATTTATCCCTGTCTCAGAAAATCCAAATACACACACACACACACACACACACACACACACACATTTATGAAAGAAGTATATGTTAAGTGACATGGTAACTGAAGTTTTTTAAATATTGCAACAAGCAAGCTGGCATATAGAATGAGCATGGCTAATAAACATCAGTAGCTGTCACAGTGGGAAGAGGGTTCCCAGGGGCTCATGCTAACAGTGTATCGTTTTTTACCTGTTCTTCAAATGCCTTAGCTACAGTCCTACTGATGCTCTTACCGATGGCCACTTAAGGCTGTGATTTACCCAGAGAGAAGCTGCACACTTCAGGGTTCAATAATGGAATAAAGTGACTACAGAATCTTTGGATTACCTGCACATCTGTTCTCATCTTCTCCTGTAATGCAGTCCACTTCACCATTGCACTTATATTTCTTTGGGATGCAAACACCCGACTTACAGAAGAAAGCATTGCCTTGACAGTCTGTGTAAACACAAGTAGAAGTTATTTCCACTATTTTCCACTGAAAGAGGTAGGGGCTGAGGTGGTAGCTCAGTGGTAGCATGCCTAGTTAGCATGTGAAAGGCTCTGGGTTCAATTCCCAGCACACACACACTCGTGTGTGCAAACGTGTGTATGTATACACATATGCACAACATGTATATAAAATGAAATCTTACCTTTATCATTGAAGCTGTTTTGACATTTTTAGTTGGAATCATGAATATGGGGATTTAAAAGGTGGATTGACTCCTACCTTTGCAACACAGCTCGTCACTTTGATCCCCACATTCATTGACTCCATTGCAGACTCTCTCCTGGGGAATGTGCTTCCCGTTCACACACTGGAAGGACTGATTTGATGGAGAATCTGTAAAGCCAGGATTGTCTCTGTGAAATTTATTCATGGATCTGTGGTATAGCATCCTAAACACATTATGGGATACAGGGATGACTAAGGTAAAAATGTGCATGATGGCACATTTCTCTAATCCCAGCACCTTGGAGGCTGAGACAGAGGAATCACTGCAAGCCTGAAGTCAACCTGAACTAAATAGAAAGATCCCATCCATGAAACAAAAATAAGTTGATACATTAATTAAAACTGAATCAATAAAATGAAGAAGTAGCCTGAAGAATGGAAAAATATTTTCCAGTTATATATATGATTAATTTTAATACAAAGGATTATATTAATATTAATACAAAAGATTAATATATAGAATATACAAGAAAGTTTTGAAAATCAAGCAAACAAGCAGCATGATCGGAAAATGGGCTATGGAATTGAACAGAGAGTTCTCAAAAGAGGAAGTTCAAATGTCTAATCATCACCTTAGAGAGGGTTAAACAATCATTAGCCATAGAAAAATTCAAACTAAAACAGCTTTGAGATTCCATCTCCCCCCAGCAGATGGCTATTAGAACAAAGTCAGATGACAACAAACGTTGGTGAGGATATGGGAAAATGCTGGGAATACAAGTTGGTGCAGGCTCTATGGAAATCAATGTTGTGGAGGTTCCTTTAAAAAAGCTAACATTAGAATTTTTGTGTGACTCAGCTAGATACTCCCACACATATATCTAAAAGCCCCTATGTCATATGACAAAGATACTCTCACATTTATGTTCTTTACTGGTCTATTCACAATAGCTAGGAAATGGAATCAACTGATGATGAATAATATGGTACACATAGACAATGGAATTAAATTAATGGAACTGAAAATGTTTATACTAAATGAGGTGATCTAGGCCCAGAGAGACAAATGCTGTATCTTCTCTCAAATGTAGATTCTAGCTTCGAATTTCTAGATTCCTGTGTGAAGGTTGGTGCATGTCAGTGGGGATCAGGGATCAAGGAAGGAGCCATGAGTTGAGTGGAGACAATAGGAGAAAAACACAGTAAAATAAATGGGACATGAAAGCGAGGAGGAGATACAAGGTAACAAGCAAGTTAGAACAGACTTGAGCATGGGAGGATGGGGAGATGTGAGGATGGGGAAGGATTGAAAAAACAAAGGACTGTGGGAAAAGCCACATAGGAACCCACTTTATAAGCTAGATAATATATTATATATATATATTATATAAGCTAATATAATAATTTTTAAAAGAAGTTGGAACAAAGATATCCTACATAGGTGGATAATGCTGTTCTCAGATGTACAAAATTTTTAAAATGAAAATCCCTGCACTAGGTGTGGAACACCTCCCTATGAGTTTTTGGTCAGAGAGGTCCCAAGGAACTCCCAAAATAGTAGACAACTGCCATTATTTTTCGCTGCTCATCATAACTAGATTTTAAGGCCCTATTGCTGAGACACCACACACTTTGCACGACACATAAAGTCAGAACTAAGCTATGAGCTCCCTCTTTGATGGTTAACTTACACAGTACCAGAAAGTTCTGGGAGAGAAAACTTACCAACAGTCTTAGGAGACGGGGATCCTGCATGCTATAATACCAACCTTCTGGGCAAGATATGCCCACTGGTGTAATAGTAGCCTGACTGTTTAGGGATAGTCAACCAATTTCTGACTGGATTGAGGCCTACTTTGTGGGAGGGACTGCATGCCTGGTACTGTAAGCCAAGTGAAATCTCTGTGACTCGAGCAATCATAGGCCCTAGAGGAGAAACTACTTATAACAGTTTGAGTAAGAATGGTTCTCAGAGACTCATATATTTGAATGATTGGTCACCAGGGAATAGAACTGTTTGAAAGGATTAGAAGGATTAGAAAGTGTGGCCTTGTTGGAGGAAGTATGTCACTGAGTGTGGGCTTTAAGGTTTCAAAAGCCCAAGACAGGCCCAGTCTGTCTGTCTGTCTCTCTGTGACTCTGTCTCTCTGTTCTCTGTCTGTCTGGTGACCAAGGCAGAACCATGTCTGTCTGCATGCCACCATGTCCTGCTACAATGATAATGGACTAAACCTCTGAAACTGTAAGCCACTCAGTTAAATTTTTTCTTTATAAAATTTGTTATGGGGGGGAGTGGGAGCTGGGAAGAAGAAAGGGGGAGAAGAGGAGGAGAGAGTAGGTCATGGAGGGCCAAGAAGGTTGAGTGGGGGGTAGAATAGGGGGGAGAACGGGATGAGAAATACCATAATAGAGGGAGTCATAGAGCCATAGAGAGATTTGGCACCAGTGAGACCTCTAGTGATCTAAAAGGATGACACCAACTGGCAAGCTAAGAGATAGTACAGAGACTACCTTAAATGCTCATTCCTGATAATGAACTTGACATCTACACTATAGGCCATCCTAGAACCTTCATCCAGTGACTGATGGAAGCAGAGGCAAACACCCACAGCTAAACACTGAATTGAACCCATGGGACCCAGTGACAGAGAGAGAGGAGTGATGAGCAAATGGGCAAAGAATGGGCTGGCGAAACCAGCAGAGACAGCTGATCTGAATAGGGGAGAGCTCTTGGACCCCAGACCAACAGCTGGGAGGCCAGCATGGAAATGATCCAGAACCCCTGAGTGTGACAATCAGTGAAGAGGCCTGGGCAACCTATGGGGCCCTGGGCAGTAGATAATTATTTATCCCTGGCATACAAATGGACTTTGTGTGTCCATAACACAAAGAAGGATGCTCTCTCAACCTGGACTCTTAGGGGAGTGCCTGGACCCTGCCCTGAGTGAAATGATAGACTCTGGATATCCCCTATGTGGAAGGAAGTGGGGATAGGGTGGGAGGCTGGGGAGGATGGTGGGTGGATACGGGAGGAGGGAAGGGAGAGGAAACTGGGATTGACATGTGAAGCAAGGTATTTAAAATTAAAGTAATAAAAAACGTTATTATGGTCATGGTGTCTCTTCACACTAACAGAAACCCTAAGACAGTTCTTAAGCCCGAAACTTAATAGAGGTATCATTGTCTCCTTGGCTGACAACTGCATATCCATCATTGTTTACTTAGTACAGGCATTTATGAAATAAGCAATCTTGATGGGAATACTCTGCCAACCTGTATCCTGTGTGTAACATGCTACACCAGCTAAGCCCTGGTAACCGCTAGTTCTTCTCTTGGTAAAGGTGCACTCCGCCAAACTGGTCTCTATTCCCCGGCAACGTACATGCAGACATTCAGTGGAGTTTATACGGAGATCTCCAGGTATATTAAACCTTCTTTGTGCTACAAGAGCACCCCTGTGAACAGAATGAGGGAAGAGCAATTCAACTTTGTCCTTATAGGAGGAAGTGAGGTGCTACAGCAATTTCCCCCCAAAATGATTTACAGATCATTTACCTTAAAACCTTCACTTGAGCCATAATTTGGGTTTTGTAAAAAGAAACTAAAATAATCAATTTCAACCAACCAGTCAGGGATGAAAACATGGCAAACATTCAGCAAGTACTGTTTTTCTTTAAGGAGGAATGCTTCCTTTCCATTTGACATTTCCTCTCCATCAGAGGGTCATTCCTGACTTCTCCTTATCCTGTAATTTTTTCTTCACAAAAGAGAGTGAATTGCCTTGATCTGAGGATTCTGAAAGTTATGCCAGAAAATGTCAGCACAGACTTCCTAGCTTTTCTTTTGAGGAATCTTCACACCTCCCCGCCCCTGCCCCCCTATTTTTGGAAGCCTTACCTGTTTGATCTCACTATGGCTTAAGATGCAGGAGGTCAACTTGCTTGAACTCTAACAGTTTTGTTTAGCTTTTAGAATTAACTACCTCTTTGTTTGATCCTTGATAATATTGAGGTGGTATTCTGGCATCTCCTTAAAGACGGATTTAGGTTGTTTATCTTAGCATCCTTTTTAGGAAAGCACGCTGATGACTGTGTCCATGAGAAGGAACACTTCCAGAGAGAACTAATTCATGAAGGTTCTGACCTAATGAATGATTTAATCCCTTGCTGTGTTCATATTATGATAGTCTTATTTTGGGTGGCCAAAGGGTAGAGTCCCATTGGAGGAAGCAGGTCAGTAGGGGCATATGCTTAGGGGCCATATCTTGTCTCTGACTCCTTATTTCCTATCTACCACGAGTATCTTTGCTATACATTACCCCCTGATAATCTGCCTCACTGCAGATCTAGAAACAATGGACCTGGTCATAACAGAGTGAATAATCTGAAACCAAAAGCCAAAATACATAATTTCTGTTGTTAGCTTTTCTCTTACACATTTTTGGTCAATGCAATGCAAAAACTAATTAATACAATGCTACTATTTGACCTCTCAGTTTGTTCAAAATATGTGAAAAGAAACCTTCTCAGTTACTCAACAGCCCAGAGATGATGACTCATGGTAAACTGTTATGCTAGGATATTTAGTTGCTTCCTGCTTCTCTTTATAGAGAAAACTAGATTAAAATTAAAAGCAGAGCAAAGATGCATCATAAATGGAAATAAAAATAAAGTACTAATTGCAATATAAGTTACAGATTAACTAGAATTAAAGGCAAAAAGAAAACAGAGAGAGTATTCCTAGTTTCTCTGAGTCTATAACGAAGATAGAGAATAGTGAAAAAAAAAGCCATTGGGGGCAAAAGTTTGAGAAGTAAATATTAAAACCCTCATATTTAAAGTTACTATAGAAAATATGGTAAATAGCTGCCCTGGGGTGTAGTTTAATTGGTTATGTACTTGGATTTCATTTCCAACACTATATTAACTAGGTGTGGTGGCACAGCCCTATAATCTTAGCATTTTGGAAGTGTAAGCATGAGGAACAAAAGTTGAAGGTCATACTTGGTGAGTTTGAGGCCAGCCTGGGCTACATAAGACCCTGCCTTAAAAACAAAGCAAAGAAGATATATTAGATACCAACAATCTTCACTGACTGAAATCAGAGAAGTCTGTCCCTGAACATATGGCAAAGACTAGGTAGAAAAGATAGATTGCAGGCAACAACTATGGAAAATCAGAAGTATCCCATGGCTGTTAAACAATAAAGTCCCACGCACGAACTCGCAGCAGTTGTGGTTACCTGCTCAAGATCCACACAAGATCAAGCCAGGATGAAATCCAGAATGGATGCAGGAGGGACTTGCTTTGCAACTGATAACTACTGGGGGAGGGGTAATCATTTTTCTTTGGGGGTGTGACCACTAGTAAGTTGTTCATGCTGTAGTGAATGGCTCTCCACCCATGCACACACTGCCAGCATTAAAAGGACTTGGGTGTTATAAAAAATGGGAGAAATAAAAAGAAATATATGGCATTGGGAAGAAGGAAATGTCGAGGGAGGGGACAGGTGATACAGGGACAGTATGGATGGATATGATCAAAATATATTGTACACAAGTATGAAATCATCAAAGAATAAGTGTATTAAACAGTATGTTTAAAGATAAAGACAGAAAAAAAGAAAGGGAAAGATTTGAGAAAAACAATTAACAGCTTGTTTATGGTACTGAATATTTATAGACCTCTGATTATAAGTATTTAAAAATTTTTTTAAATCAAATTTCAACAAAAAACTTAAAAATAATAACCATAGAGGGACATCCTATGATACTACAGTTAACTAGGAAATCAATAATAAATAGTTAGTTAAAAGCAAAGTGATGTATTCATTTGGAAGGCACAAAAGAAACTTCAAAACTGCATCAGAAATTATACTGGAAAATTAAGATATATTATGAATAACATAAATAGAACATTATTTATGGAAACAAACATAAATGCTATTTATGTTATGAATAACAATAAATAAAATGTCACTTATGGAAACTTAGAGAGTATAGACGAAGCATTCACAGAGGGAAATTGTATCTTCAGTACATCTGTCTGTAAACAAAAAGCAACTGTAAATGGTTAAAGTTAAGCATTCAACCCAAGGAGTTAGAAAACAAATCAGAAGGGTGGGCTGGGACTGTACTGACTCATGGGCATGGGCCCTGGGCTCAATCCCTGGCACTGTCCTCTTTAATAAAAAATACAATAATAAAAAAGGGAAATTAAATAGGGAAATGACTTAGTTAAATATAACAGCAAAGAGTGAGGATACAGAAATAAAGAAACAAGAGCATTTAGATGTACAAAAATAAGGTCAGTCAAACACATTTCTGCAAGGCCAATAGAGGAGAAAAGAGAAAGGCCATAAATAAACAATATGAGATCTGAAAAAGTGGACATCCTTCTAAATGAACAGTAGGAAGTGTATTTGAGGGTGTAAAAGTCTCCAAGAGATTCTGTCCAGAAACATGGAATGACAGGGGCTCTCTGCTCACAGGGCTTTAACTGCTGGGTAAACTCAGACACAGTCAGTCCTGGCCACAGGTGGCTCATTAACATTCTTGATGGGCCATTAACATTCTTGGGTTATACATAAGGACATCGAAGCATAGGGAGGTTAACCAGCCAGAAAAAAACAAAAAAACAGCTGGAACAATGAAATCAATTGTGTCCACATCCTTTGAGAACAGAACTCACTGTTGATATCCGAGGTCAAAGCAGGCCACATTGGCTTCTGTCATGCTCCAGGTTTTTTTACATAAGAACATTTTCTCATCTTGGTCCACAAGTTGCACTTGAACAATTCCCTCTGCATGTGTATTTCCATAGATTAAGGAAACATTAAATTTCCCTAAAATAAAAAAGGATGGACAGACAATGTTCAAGTATTTATTTTCTCCCTTTTTAACTTGTCTTTATTAAAACACCTACTTTCAAATTAACTTTGAGCATCACAATGCCTTATCAAATGATAAGCTATTATTTTGGGAGTCCTAATCCTGTTAGTGACCACACTGTTCATTGACAAAGCCACTACATTCTCATACTAACCCTTAAAGATAAGGTTGTATTCATCTTCAATTGAAGCCATGAAGCTGAAGATTAGAACTTGCTTTAAAACTGTGGTGGTTTGAATGAGAACGGCCTCCAGAGGCTCAGATATATGAATCCTACTCAGTGGAACTGTTTGGGAAGATGGTGTGACCTTGGTGGAGGAAATGTGCCACTGGGTGGGAGTTGAGGGTTCAAAAGCCCATGCCAAGCCCCGTCTTCTCTCTCTTTGTATTTCTCTCTGTGTGTGTCTCTGTCTCTGTGTATCTCTGTCTCTCTGCCTCCAACTTGCAGATAAGATACAAGTTTTCAGCTATTGATCCAGCACCGTGTCTGCCTGCCTGCTGCCATGCTCCCTGCCATGACAAGCATGGACTCACCCTCTGAAACTGTAAGCGAGTCTCCAACTAAATGCTTTCTTTCATAAGTTACCTTGTTCGTGGTGGATCTTTACAGCAATAGAAAAGCTACTAAGACACTACTTTTCACTAACCTTACTCCACCACCCACATGCTTAGAAGTAAGGCAAACAGTGAAAGAAAGCGTATGAAGGGTTTCCAAAGGGTTTTTGCAGTCTCACAAATGTGAAGAATTCGGAGATTCAGGAGAAGAAAGGTGATGCTGAGCATGTCAACCGCTGCCTTCTTGCCGCAGGTAGTAGAGATGGACCCAACTGGGAGGCTCATTCCTCTTTTGCACAGTAACTCACCCCTTTCCCCACCTTCTGCTAGCACCTCATAGTTACTAAGCTACCGTGAGCAGACCTGTGTCACAGTGCCTTTAAGAGGAATGTCTTAACCATTCCTGTCCCAACACACAGTGCGTGTGATGACTTTGTATCCGAGGACAGAGCCCAGGATCCTAGCTTCCTAGTTCCATCAGACCCATGGACCGAGTGTAGACAAGCTCCTGCCTGATGTGTTGCATTCATTCCAGGTCAGCAGTGTCTCAAACTAACTTTGGATCATCAGGGTCAATGGGGAAGGGCCTGGGTAAGGGAGAGGACAGCATTGAGGGTACAGAGACTAGGAGACATTACTGAGGTTTGATTTCTGATGGGTGAACTGAAGCAGAACAGGGTATATCAGTACCCATGTCATACTAAGATATTTTTAGGATTTATTGTTTATTTATGTGTATGACTATGCTAAGTGTGTGTGTGTGTGCCAGCACTGCGTGTGTGTGTGGGGAGGATGATAGCAGTATTGTGTGTGAGGTTACCAGCAGTGTGTATCAGGGGTAGGATGTGCTAGCAATGTGTGTATGCATGTGTGAGTGTGTGTATGTGTATGTATGCATGTGAGTGTATGGATGTGTGTATATGTGTGCATGTGTGTGTATGCATGTATATGAGTGTATGTGTGTATGTGTATGTATGCATGTGTGTTTATGTGTATGTATGTGTGTATGTATGTATGTGTATGCATGTGAGTGTGTGTATGCATGCAAGTATGTGTATGCATGTGTGTATGTGTGTATGTATGTATGTATATGTATGTGTGCCTGTGTGAATGTGAGTGTATGTGTGTATGTATGTGTGTGTGCATGTGTGTGTGAATGTGCATGTGTGTGTGAATGTGTGTGTGTGTGTGTGTGTGTGTAGGGAGTCCAGCAGAAGTCGGAAGAGGGCTTTGGATCTCCTGCAGCTGGAGTTACAGTCAACTGTAAGGCACTTGACAAGGGCGCTGGGTTCTGATTTCTGGTGCTCTGGAAAACAAGAAGCTGAAGCTCTCTCTCTCTCTCTCTCTCTCTTTTTTTTTTTTGGTTTTTACGAGACAGGGTTTCTCTGTATTGTTTCGGAGGCTGTCGGTCCAGCCCGGCCTTGAATTCATAGAGATCCACCTGCCTCTGCCTCCCGAGTGCTGGGATTAAAGGCGTGCGCCACCACCACCCGGCGAAGCTGAAGCTCTTTTAACTACCAAGCCAACCCTCCAGTCCCCCATGGCAAGACCTTTTCACTGATGGTCCGGTGAATAATCCCTTTAACCAAGTAGAAGTGAGAGTGGGGGAATTCTGAAGGTCAGAGCAGCACAGAGCAGCACCTCAGAGCCATGGGGACTCAAGGAAAGATGGCATGCTGGTGACTCCTGGCTTTTTCCAGATATCACTTGAACCATTACTACCTAAAAACAACTTATAAATGGTGAGCCGTGACCCTACACGGAGTTGCTTAACTGACTGTGGGTGATAAAAGGTTCCTAAAAGCACAACCAAAAGTGAATTAAAAATCAAATGTGTAGCTGACAGATGGCACACTCTTAATCTCAATGCTTGGGAGGAGGAGGCAAAGACAGGTGGGTCTCTGAATTCAAAGCCAACCTGGTCTACACCAGGTCTACACCAGGACAGGCAGGGCTACACAGAGAAACCCTGACTCAGAGACAGAGAGCCAGAAGGAGGAATGGGGAGGGGAGGGGAGGGAGAGGGAGGGAAAGGGAGGAGAGGGAAGGAGAAGAGAGGAGAGAAGAGAGAGAAGGGGAGGGAAGGGGAGGGGAGGAGAGGAAGGGGAGGGAAGGGGAGGAGAGGAGAGGAGAGGAGAGGAGAGGAGAGGAGAGGAGAGGAGAGGAGAGGAGAGGAGAGGAGAGGAGAGGAGAGGAGAGGAGAGGAGAGGAGAGAAAATCATCAAACGTGTAATGATCGGAGGTGTTCCTGGCACCGCATGACCCTGTTGCTTCCCATGACTTCACTGCAGCCATGTTTCTGAACACACAACACATTCACTTTTCACCGGGCATGCACCATGCTGTGCAGTGTGGAGGAACACTTCCAGAAAAATGTTGGCTCAGATCCAAGGCTACTTGAACATTTTTTACTGTACATACAAAGCTTTTTCCTCATACAGAAATATAATGATTTAACTACAGAAAACAAAGACTTCTAATATCTTCCTACCGTCATTCCTCAGCGCATGCACCTCAGATTAGTGAGTATCTTTGGATTGGATTGGATCAGAATGTTTGATTTTTAAAAACTGCTGTTTAAATTACTGACTTCAATCATAGTTTTGTTTGTTTGTTTATTAAATGAATATTGGCTTGAGATCAGTACAGAATTTCCAACAATTTTGAAATGGTCCTAAACATACTTCTGTTACTTTGTACTATGTCTATATGTGAAGCAGGATTCTCAGTATTGAGAGACTCCAAAATCAAAATATTGACCAACTCTGAAAAATAGTGAAGATTATGTCCTGTGATGTCAAATATTAATACATGTAAAAATACGTTTATCTATCTCATCAGAATGCAAATTTGCCTTCATGTTTAATAAATGATAAGATTATACACATATCAAAGAATTATTTTTAAATTAACTCCTTATACTCATTGGCCAATATTTGATTTGTACATCCATTTCATAAGGCATGTACTCAGAGTCACTTAAAATTTTCCTGAGTGAAAAGGGAATCATGAATGGGAAAAGGTTTAAAAAGTTCTGGTTTAGCCTGGGGGTGGCGCACGCCTTTAATCCCAGTGCTTGGGAGGCTGAGACAGGTGGATCTCTGTGAATTCGAGGCCAGTATGGTCTTCAGACTACACAGAGAAACCTGTCTCAGGAAGGAGAAGGAGGAGGAGGAGGAGGAGGAGGAGGAGGAGGAGGAGGAGGAGGAGGAGGAGGAGGAGGAGGAGGAGGAGGAGGAGGAGGAGGTGGAGGAGGAGGAGGAGGAGGAGGAGGAGGAGGAGGTGGAGGAGGAGGAGATGGAGGAGGAGGAGGAGGAGATGGAGGAGGAGGAGGAGGAGGAGATGGAGGAAGAGGAGAAGGAGGAGGAGGAGGAGGAGGAGGAGGAGGAGGAGGAGAAGAAGAAGAAGAAAGTTGCCACCCTGGCTTAAAGTTTAATTTGCCATTACAATAGTTCACAGCAAAAGCATTTTATGACAGAAAGGATGGCACAGCATTGCCCTCTCATTAGAATAACTTGGTTACACACATTTTTCCTACCTTCAGCTGTGCAATTTCCACTATTTGAAAACTTTGTCTCTGGCTGCAGACATTCGAAACTCTTCTGGTGACAGTAAGTGGGGTATTTCCTTCCATTAATGGCGCACACTGGGGTGCCAGTCTTTGGACACTGGTAAGGGAGTTTGCAGACACAGCTTCCATCGACACATTTCTGCCATGGCTGGCAGAAGACTTTGTCACAGGAGCGGTGTGTGTATTTATTTAGTAAGCACTTCTGGTCCACCAGATCCTTGGGAGGGGAAGCTGATATTGGAATGCGCTGTGAACAGGGAATAACAAATGACAGTTTTTTTGTGGTCTTGGAATGTGAGGAAGTGAAGGAAAAGCAAACAACAGACCCAGCCAATAACTGTGGGTTGGCACAGGACAGCCCCAGCCAGCAGCATAGACACGACTATGGACTGGCACAGGACAACTCCAGCCAGCAGCCCAGCCGGCAGTGTAGACGAGACTGTGGGCTGATGATTGGTTTTATGAATCACGCAAACTCCCAGCCCCAGGTTTGGGTGCTTTGGGCAAGTTACCCTCATGAAAAGCGATGTTCTCATCTTACAGTGAGGGTAATATCTCTTACTTTTAGTAGTTGCATTTGAAGGATTAGAAGCAATATCAGCAATGGTTCCAGTAGTCAGTTCCAGGAATACAATTAATTGAACTATTAGAAAGCCCACATAAAAGTGGGCCTTGGAAGAGATCAAGGAATCTCAGTGCCATAGTAGGGAGTAACAAACTTGATGCTGAATACAGTCTCCTAGGATGAATTTGAAGATTGCCATTTATTGGTTGTTATTAAATGCAAAACCATTTAATGAACTACATGTAAATCATACTAAAATGAGTGTGACAGTCTTTTTCTTTTAAGGGCTTGATTATTTGACGATAAGGGCACACAGACTAGCATGACAGAAGGCAGAGGGTGGGTGAAATACATGAATTACAAATACAGCATGGTGGTTTGGGAGAACAGGCTTGGAACATGTCTTTCTAGATAGAAGCCCTTGAGCAAGGCAAGCATGAACATAGCTGCCTTAGGGCTATGCTAGAGAAGGAATATTATACAATATATACTTGGTAAAGCAAGTAGACCTGACTCTGGAGTGTATATCACTGAGTGTTGCAGATGGGTATTCATTAGTAATGAACCTGGGGAAACAGGCAGCCAGAGTACAGCATGGTAATGGCTTAGAGAAGCAATGGTCAGAGTGAAACAACAGGATTCAACAATTTAATCCACGTGGGAGTGGAAGGTGGGTTTCATGGAGAGAGAATGAAGGATGCTTTACCTCCAGTCAGCACTACCAAGGACCATTTAAAATACATGTATCTAATTCCATTAATGACCAGTCTCTCTCTATGAATTTATTCTCCATATTTTTGTATATCTTTATTGATATGCCATCAAAATAAAATAATTTCCAAAAAGTGATAAGTGGTATCACTAAATGATTAACTTTTGAATTATTAAAACATTTAAATGTTTAAATTTTTAACCCAAGATGTGTTTATTTGTACAGCAGTGTTATTATTATCTTTGGATAAATAAATTCATGTATCTTGGGAGCTCAGTCTCAAACATTTTAAGCAATTATTAGTATAACTTTGTGCTGTGTGACATTATTCCTGGGAAGATGTGCACAAGCATCTACTCACCCAGCCAGGAAACCAAGAACAGACAAAAGTTAGCATAGCACCAAAGTCCAATTCAGTGAACCAATGGTTTTACTGGAAGTTATTTACAGGAGTATGGGTGAGGAGTCACTTACAGGAAAAGAGATGACTCCAAGAGAGTTGCATCAGAAGAAGCCCACCCAACATGGGTGACAAGTCATGGGAGCTGGAACACATTGCACAGCCTGCTGGCAGCTTGACAGGGTGGAGAGTGTCCTTGCCAGGCAGCTCAGCTGTTCTGAGAGTGTGTTTCTACAGCCCTTACTGCTTATACATGCATGTGAAGGAGAAGCCTAGTGAATTTGATCAATTTCAGGGACTTCCTGAAACCTCTGAGTTGCTTACTTCCCAAGTTTAAGGAGCTTCAGCACAGGATGAGTGCCACACTTCCCCTTAGGACAACCTACACTTTAAAGAACTTCCTTCCAAGATGGGAGATTGTCTCTTGGAAGAAACTGCTACACAATAGTTTGTCAGCCAAAACATTCCATCTCCATTAATTGCTGCTGCTTCTCTGCCTGTGTGGTTTTTCTCTCCCTTCTTCATCCTTTTCTTAATATTTATATGATATAGCAATTTTGTGAACTTTGTCTTTTTTTAAAGTATGGAACCCTTGAGAGCAGGATGAGAGATACCATAATAGCCATTATAGGTTTGAGGAGAGATCTGGCACCAGTGAGATTTCCAGAGATCTACAAGGATGACACCAACTGGCAATCTAAGCAATGGTGGAGAGGCTACCTTAAATGCCCTTCCCCGATAATGAGATTGACAATTACCTTGTATGCCATCCTAGAGCCTTCCTCCGATGGCTGACGGAAGCATAGGCAGACACCCACAACTAAACACTGAACTGAATTCTTGGAACCCAGTTGCAGAAAGGGAGGAGTGATGAGCAAAGGGGTCAAGAATGGGCTGGTGAAAGCCACAGAAACTGCTGACCTGAACAAAGGGAACTCATGGTTCCCAGACTGATGGCTGAGAGGCCAGCATGGGAATTATCCAGACCCCCTAAATCTGGGTGTCAGTGAGGAGAGCCCATCATCTATGGGGCCTCGGGTAGTAGATCAGTATTTATCCCTGGCATACGAATGGACTTTGGGAGCCCATTCCACATGGAGGGGTGCTCTCTCAGCCTGGGCACATGGGAGGGGGGCTAGGCCCTGCCTGGGATGATATGACAGACTTTGGAGATCTCCCATGGAGGGCTTCACCCTCCCTGGGGAGCGGAGTGGGGATGGGAGTGTTGTGGGGGAGTTGGTGGGGACAGGAGAGGAGGGAAGGGAGAGGGAGCTGGGATGACATGTGAAGCAAGCTTGTTTCTAACTTAAATTTTTTTAAAAAGTAAGGAACCCTTTTAGATAGTTATTAGCAAACAAGCAAGAAACAAAACAATGTCCTCTTGGCTGTATCACACAGAGGCACAGGCTTATCTCAGGTCTCTTTGTCACTTTGCCTTTCGTCTGCTTTTTATTTTTAGTCTATAAACAAGGGGAAAAGTGATAATCAACTCTGAACAAATCAAGACAAAGACCACTACTCAAGTCTCAATCTTTGTTTTCTTTTGAAATAGAATCTCTCTGTGTGGCCCAGACTGGCCTTGAACTTCTATTCTCATTGCCTTAGTTTTCAAGCAGCTGGGGTTGCAAGTGCTTACTTTGTCCTTTGTGGGGACACTGTCAATAAGTTCTCTTCTACTGCTGGTTAGATATGTGATCTTTGGTAAGTAGCTTTTCTCATCTCATTCTGTTTTTGCTTAATAAAAATAATGTTCTCAGTCGCAAAGGATCAAATGAGGGAAGACAGGAGCTAGCTTAATAATGATTAAATAGGTAGATAGGTGGGCAGAGAGGTCCGGGTAAGACTAACCTGGCTGTTTCCAATTTAGATCAGCTCTGGCTAAGTCCCTAGCCCCAGGAGAACTCCTGCTGAGGCTGGATGACCTGTGAGCATGGGCTAGGCAGGCTTTCTTCTCGAGAAGTTCAAGGATTCCCCACTCTCACGCTGTTGTTGGCTACAACACAGCTCTACTTAGTACTGGATCAGCATATGAGTTCTTGTCCAACGGGTCTCCACAAGGCAAAGCCCGTGGAGACAGTCTCACTTGGCGAGGACCTCGGGACAGTGCAGAATATTGCTGGAGCCATGCGGCCTGTGTGCTCTCTTCTCTCTCATAATGTTGATGGTACTCTTGGATGTTTTCAGTGCCACTTTGTCAGCCACAGATGGGACAGATGTGTTCATTCCTGGAAACCCCATTTTTTTCTCAGATATTTTCCCCTAAAATTCTTGGGGAACTGGTGCTTCTCAGGTTTGTTGTCTGGGGATGACAGCTGTCCCTCCAGACCCTAGGAGCTGTTCTGATTCAGTGCTGACAGGATCAGAGGCAGATCACCCTATCTCTGTAAATGTGCTTTGTTAAGATGATATTGTTCTTGAGTGTGTGTCCACCTCAATCACCTCTTAGCTTTGTAAAGACAGAGTGTACCTGGCTTGATATTTGGCCGAGCTAGCATTGCTTTTGGTTTAAGAGATGCTTTGACATGAAAGTTGGGGGAAAACATATTTGACATGTTTCTTTTTTTTTTTTTTGAATTGATTTGAGTTACATAGGAAATTCAATATAGTCTTTATTGTTTTGGTTGGGATCTTCTTCTTCTTCTTCCTCTTCCTTCTTCTTCTTCTTCTCCCTCCTCCTCCTCCTTTTTGTTTGTTTTTTTTTTTTTGAGACAGGGTTTCTCTGTATTGTTTTGGAGCCTGTCCTAGAACTTGCTCAGCAGACCAGGCTGGCCTCGAACTCACAGAGATCCGCCTGCCTCTGCCTCCCAATTGCTGGGATTAAAGGCGTGCGCCACCACCGCCTGGCTTTCTTATTATTTTGTAAGGTGAATATTCCTCCTTTCTCAGAATCAGAATGTAACTGGAACTTGTGGGAAGGTGGCTGCAAGAAGAGTATGGGCAAGAAGAGTGGGTCCTGAAGACTTACCTCTAACTGCTCCAATAACATTGGAAATAGTGTTTTGACATCAACTCTATTATTTTGCTTTAAGGATAAAAAAAATCATTGGTTCCAGAGGTCAGTAATGCATATGTGAGGTCATAGCTTACTCTCCCGTCCTTCTGACCACTGTAATTTGCGTCTAACGGCCCCATAGCTAGACTCTAAAAACAATTTAGTCAGTTCCCATGTCTCACTACTGCAAATACTACAATGAATTTCCTTATTAATGCACATCTCCCACATGTGCTACTTATGTCAGACACCTACCTGGAATTGAAATGACTGAATGTAAAGAATAAACAACTTTAACACTGGAAGGTATTACTCAATTTTTCTCGAGGGGTGAAAACCTCTCAGATTTCTATTTCTGGCACCATGCCTGCGGCCTGAACTCCTTTTTCCATTCCTCTACTCTGCCATCATGGACTTCTTTTCTTTGGGAACTGTAAACCCAAATATACGCCTCCTTTTATAAATTGCCTTCGTCATGGCGTATTTCTTTGTTTGTTTATCTATTTATGGAGACGGGATCTCACTATGTAGTTCTGGCTGTCTTGTGTTGGGGATGTTGTATCACACTGTGAACCACGACTATGCATTTGTGGGAATTAAACGAAATTAACCTTGGGTCAGAAAAATGAGTGAGCAACTCATCGACAGAAAGTAATCATAGAGCATCAGAGGGCATCTAGAAGAAATAGACACAGGAAAGAGTAGGGAGGGATTCTGAGGGCTCAGGTTTCTTTTGTTTTAACGGACTAGGTTGAGACCATGGCAAACACTTCTTACTGGCTTGCTCAGTTACCTTTCTTTTATAGCCCCCCCCACCTGCCCAATGGATGGCACCTCCAACAATGCTCTGATCAACAACCAAGCCATGCTCCATAGTCATGTCCACAGGCCAATTTGTTGGAGGAAATTCTTCAACAAGGGGTTCCTCTTCCCAGTGTCATGTTGGCAACCAAGGTGGACTATCATGAATTTGTCAGAGTACCCCTTAAAGATAAAATAAGTAGCAAGAGGTAGATGAAGTCCTAGGGATGCCAGTGTCTCAAATGGTCAAAACTGCCTGTCACATTTTCAGTAGCAACGACCAGGTCTATGAAGGAAAGGAGCATCAAAAGATGAAATTAGCAACAAATTTAAGGACCATTCTGTGACTTGTCATAAGGAATAACTAGACCTAAGGTAGGAAACCCTTGTCTAATCCCCAAGCTGAGTGGGGCAACCTACTGTGGAACTAATCCAGTGCACATTTAGCAAGCACAGGACTATTGAAGAATAAGAAAGGGGATGCCCCAACTACATAGAACTCTTGGAAGACTATTTGATTTTATTTTTTAATCACATATATGTACATGAATTCAGATGCCTGTAGAGGGCAGAAGAGGGCATCTGATCCCCCGGAGCTGGAGTTACAGACAGGTGGTCCAGCATAAATCCCTCTTGTCCCATAGTCCCTTCCTGACTCTGAGCTTTGGGTGATTTGTCCTCTCATTAAAGTTATTTACCAACTGATATTTTTACCATTTTGCCAATTAGGAGTATAGAGAGACTTTATAACCCTTTTCTTTACAATAGGATGAAAACAATATATATTTAGGAGCAATCTATGCTACAAAATTAGATCTTTCTTGGACTAGCGGTAGTGGTGAAATCCTGATGAAAGGCCAGGCCACAACTGACCATCTGCCACATGATCGTCAGATGAGCAATATCATCTTGCCAGTATACTTAGATATTGTGTTTTGACACCCTGATATATATATACAAAATGTCCAGTAATCAGAACTGCATAAGATAATTAGTGCTTATAAAATGGGCTTTTATTGGGTGATTTTGTCCAACTTGAGGATAGTATGCTCTGAGCATGATTAAATTAGGCTACACTGTGAAGTTCAATTACATCCAATACATTTCCCACTTAACAATATATGATGGGTTCATTGGGATGTGATATCCAGTGTTTTGAGTAAAGATTATCTTTATGATCCTGTAATATTCCCCTGGTTTGCATTTTCAAATGTAATTTAAGTCTTGCTTATTATTTTCTCTTTGACATATTTAATCATCTTTCTACAATTTCCTTAAAAGGATACTAAAAGAAGAATCAGTCTTACTTTCCTATCACAATACCATACATGCAGAAGCACAGTGAATGTTTATTGATTTACTTGGACAATAGCTTATAGCAGTAAATCAGTGAAGCTCTTGCGTGGCTCAATGTTAGTAAGCATGTTCAAGCATATAAAAACTATTTTCTTAATTAAACTCCTCTTATCAGGATCTGCTACTGTACACTTGCATTCTTAAAAACCTAGAGCAATACTTAAGTCTAAGTCACATTCCTTGAAGGATTTTTCTGGACTTTTATAATTTTTAAAGTCTCCTTAAAAGAATTTCTATAATGACTGCATCACTCACCTTGCCAGAACTCCAGTGGAGGTACAAAATTAACAGAAGATGAGTGAGCTTCATGCTGGAGGTGTGCGGGGCCGTCTCCACGGAAGACTTTTGTCCATTCCAGATACTCCCCTGAAACTTAATTTTTAACCTCTGAAAAAATATTTAAAAAGGAGAAGCCTCCTACAGAGCATTGCACTTTTGAACTCTTGGAGGATTTGGCTAACATCCAGAGTTTTACCGGAACCGAAACAAACAAACCCCAGCCTTCTCAGTAAGGATCTGAGGCAGGCGACCAATAGGAAGTGTTTGGACCAGGCGAGCCTGATTGCTCCATCTTGGCCCTGACAAAGCCCTGATTCCATTTTCCAGGGAACACAGAAAGTACCATGGAAGGGACTTTTTTCTTTTATGTCATTTGGCAAATAAAATGACACTCTTTGCTTTAAGATTGCAGAGGGGAGATCTGTGGCAGTTGAAATGCTATGGGTCTGCAATCTCTAGAGGCAGCTATAAAACAGTCGTGGGTGCGAGATTCCCATCAGGCTTTAGTACCATTGGAAGAGGCAAGCAAGGGAGAGCAGGGAGAGAAATGGGACAACTGTATGGGTTCAGCAAAGCCCTATGGGGTGCTCTGGAGAGCTGGGATCGGTCGGCTTCCTGCCTCAGAGAAAAAGACTGAACCATTACACCCCACCTTGTTCAGGCACCGGCTCCACTCAGGGACGCCTTGCCCTTTGTTGAAGCAGTTCTCTTTAGCCGATGCAGACCCTGAAGGATCTGACAAGTTCGTGTCGTCGTGTGTTTCTTGCTACTCTTCACAGACAGCTGGCAAGTCCTTCCCTGGACATGTCTGGGGACTCACCTGTGTCTTCTGGTCGCTTTGATACCCTTTGAGCTCCTTCCATATTAGACTCCAAAAGCAGTTCTTAGAAAATTCCACGGGCCTCTTCCTCCCGAGAGAAACCTCACAAGAGGGAGTTATTGGAAAAATTCCACTGACTCAGACATGGCAGTTGGTGTTGGGGCCACAGCTAATGCTTCTCTGATTTTCCCTCTGAGCTTGACCTCTGCGGTTTCAGCGGCTCAGCCTCCTCCAGGCGTGGGCTGAAGTCCTGGCTTCCATTCTCAGATCAAAGTTGCTGTTTCTATTCCTTTACTTTCAAAACAGGCACTCCATCCGTCATGTGACACAGACTCCTTCCACTCCCTCTGCCCCCTGCTGCAATAACCTGAGCTCTGCTTCCCCTGAGTCATTAAGGCCAATCATCCCATCAAGACCGAGGCTCCCTTTCTTTCTTCCTGGTCTCTAGACACAAAGAGCCCAGTGTGCACCAGGAAACAGCCTTAGTTTTCATTTGTTTAATAGGAGTTTGTTGATATTGTTATTTTGAGGTAGCCTGTCGGTCTTCCAGTGTAGCCTTGGCTGGTCTGGCCCTTACTGTGCAGACCAGGATGGCCTCAAACTTACAGGGGTCCTCTTCACTCTGTGTCTTGAATGCTAGGATTAAAGGTGGATGCTACCACTCCTGGTTCAAGAGTATCCTGACTGTACTCCTGGTGGAAGTGTGGCACTTTTGGGGACCAAGACCTCTATCAAACTCCACAGAGTATACAGTTGTAAGAACAGGAAGTATTGAACATCCAGCCGACCACTGAGTGATGGTAAGTGTGGGTTCCTGCCCACATCCCTTGGATGTCTCCAGACCGGTGTATTCTTCCTATTAGAGACTCAGTGTTTATAAGAGGCCGTGGTTAAATGCACATATTGATTCCTAGAAGATATTACCAGTCCTCTCATGCCATTAACTAGCACCTCAATCTGCACTCAGCAGACCCTCCAGTGCTATACTGTCTGTTACAGGTGTGGTATGTGATGTGATCAGTAAAATGCATGGACATAGGCCAACTTGTGTAGCTCTTCTGCTGTCATGAGAGGACCCTTGTCGGGCAGATTGTTATGTGGGCTCTCTTGCTGGAAGACGTGAATACTCTGGATTCTTTGGCTCATGGTACTAACTAGTCCTGCAGGCCCAAAAGGCACACCCATATCTCAAATACATCTACTGTGGTAATAATATATGACTCTTGTTTCTGGGACTGAAGGGATCCAGATGTAGTCAGTCACTGACTTGGCACTTGGTCTCCTTGATAAAGTGTGCCATCTTGGGGGCACAGTGCTAGGTCTGTGGTGACTGCATTGAGCATTTGTTGATGGCAATGACTAAATAAATAGTGGCTAAATACCTCATGGTTAACTGCATCTCTGCCAAGGCTGCATCTGTCTGGTGCTCAGTATGCCAGCATTAGGCTGACTGACAGCCGGATATAGGTAATATCAAACTGTCATAAGAATACTAGTGTCTTTTCTCTTGGAGTGCTTTCTGAGGCTCTGTCTACTGGGATTTTTTTTTTTTTTTTGGTTTTTACGAGACAGGGTTTCTCTGTATTGTTTCGGAGGCTGTCGGTCCAGCCTGGCCTCAAACTCACAGAGATCCGCCTGCCTCTGCCTCCCGAGTGCTGGGATTAAAGGCGTGCGCCACCACCGCCCGGCCTAGGATGGTTTTTATTCTAAGGCAAATCTCACAGTCCCGGGATGGGTGGGTCCAAAGCCCACAATCCTCATGCCTCCATCTCTGAAGTGCTGGGATCAGCGGTAACATCCCCAAGCATGGCCTGACCACTATCTTTCAGAGTCACGCCTACGGCTGAATGTAATGAGATGCTCTCTGGTTTTGATTCATACTTACACACCCCACAAGTCCATCTGCAGTCAAATGCTCTACCCCTAAGTTATACCCCATCCACGAGTCCATCTGTAGACATCTCTCCTCCTTCAGCTGTTCAGAACACATTCCCAGTCATAGACGATGAGACAGAGCACTGGGTAAAGGTACTTGCTCACCTACCTTGCTTGTGAGCTTTGGCTCTGTTTGTGGAGGTGACATTTTCACTAGGCTTGCTTGAACTAATGTTTTAGTTTCCTGGCTGAGATAGTTTTGTAAATAAGCCCCCACTCCCAACCCCCACCCCACTTTATGACACACACTTCTAAACATATGATAACATGTTATCCTTGGTTTATTCCACATTTTTCAGAACCAGAAGAGTACAAGTTGCTTCTCAAAATGTGCATGGCTCTCTGTTTTTGGTGGACTGGCCCTACCCTGTCACCTCAATTCTTCATTACTGTTCTCTTATTGAGTCCTTCTCAAATACCACACACTGGTTTTTTTCCATTGCTTCACAATATCTTGGGATTTTCTGTCAATCAAAAGAGTCTAAAGAATCCCAGAAACGCTATGAGACATGCCTTTTGGGGTGTGGGTGTAATGTGTAATATCTTATCTTTCACTGTAGAGAGGACACTGTGACTTTACTGCTGTGCCCAGGCTTCCTCTCTTGTCCTTAGGAGCACACATAGCTTTTCAAATCACCTGCAACCATCACTTGTTTGTCTGTTTTGATCAAGGCAATGCTGCTAAAAATATTTGCAGTTTACTTTTCATTACTATGCTTTAAAAATATCGCTAAACTAGAATCAGGGTTCTCATTTGTAAAAGAAATTCCGCTGAACAAGTGGTACCCATGATGCCTGTCAAGGTGAAGTTCCCAGGTGGTTCCACTCCTATATCAGAAAGACACATCCTAGTGAATTCACAACACACTGCCCCCCAGCCCAAGAAATGCTAATGTCAGTAACTTTTGAACACTGTTATATGGTGCTCCGAGGATGTCGCTTAGAAATACAGCATGAGGCTGCCTCATCACGGTGACCAAATACCTAGCAGAAAGCATGTAAGGGTTGGAGGACTGCTTACAGACCTTGGTTTCAGGGTGTCACTCTATTCATTTGGGGAGTGCATGACAGAGTATGACGCGGCATGACAATTTATCTTATGGTCACCAGGAAGCAAGAGAGGAGGAACGGACCGAGCAACCCCCTCTCCTCCTCCATTCAGGCTTCACCTCCCAGAGCTGTGCTATCAGCTGTGTTCAAGCATTCAATACACAAACCTGTATGGAACAGTTCAAAATGAAAACGTAATATTTATCAAACACCAGCCAGTTTAAGAACAGTGACAATGGTGACATTTTTGTTACGTATATTTTGCCACAGTTAAAAAAAAACATTGGCTATTATTGGGTCATAAGTCGTTCATTGTGCCATCCCGTGCATGTCACTTATGAAGTGGCCCTGGAAGCCGGGCGGTGGTGGCGCACGCCTTTAATCCCAGCACTTGGGAGGCAGAGGCAGGCGAATCTCTGCGAGTTCGAGGCCAGCCTGGTCTACAAAGCGAGTTCTAGGACAGCCTCCAAAACAATACAGACCAACCCTGTCTCTAAAAAAAAAAAAGTGGCCCTGGAAATGGTAGAATTATTCAGAGCTTTCTTCCATAGTCAAAATCTATGATTGTTCTAGAAGATTGAAAACGGAGCTTCTTCAGGAAAGAGGAGTGTTTTGACAAAGGCAGGTAATGGCAAGGGCAGTAACTCTGACCTGATGAGTCAGAGGGATGCTGTGTGCAAATACCAGTTAGAAATCGTACAGAGAAAAAAAAAAACAAACAAGCAAACAAAAAGCCGGGCGTTGGTGGCGCACGCCTTTAATCCCAGCACTTGGGAGGCAGAGGCAGGTGGATCTCTGTGAGTTTGAGACCAGCCTGGTCTACAAAAGCTAGTTCCAGGACAGCCTCCAAAGCCACAGAGAAACCCTGTCTCGAAAAACAAAACAAAACAACAAAAAACAAAGAAATCATACAGAGGGCTTCTGTGACAGGCTTTAGACATACTACTCAGAGAAACTGCAGGGCTATGGGAAGGGGGCTGGGAATGAGACTACAAGACAGCTCTTGCTAAGTTCACAGTATCATCAAATGCAGCATAGATGAAGTTAAGCCTACAAGTCATCATTTAGTCTAGGGTGACAAGCATGCTCAGAATGTGAGGTGTTGCCCGCTGTGATGTTTTGTTTGGGTATTTGAATTCTTATAGATTATATCAAGTGATTTGGGATGGGGACTGTTTCAAAAGGCCTGTACTCTGAAGCTGAAGACAGTACAAAGTCACTTCACAAGGGACCAACAGAAACCTGTCTCATGCCGGGCGGTGGTGGCACACACCTTTAATCCCAGCACTCGGGAGGCAGAGGCAGGCCGATCTCTGTGAGTTCGAGGCCGGGCTGAACCGACAGCCTCCAAAACAATACAGAGAAACCCTGTCTCGTAAAACCAAAAAAAAAAAAAAAAAAGAAAAAAAGAAAAAAAGAAACCCGTCTCGTTTGGTAAGAGACAACGAGCCTAGGGCAGGGACGGTGCTGATGAGAACAGCATAGTGTGCTTAAAGGTCTGAGCTCAGGCCTTGAAAACCAAGAGTCTGGCGCCACCGGGAGAACACATGGGGGTATTGGAAAGACCTCCAGTTTGGGAGGAAGAAGGGAGAGAGGCAGCTCCAGAGCCCTTAGGTTCAGTTCCCAGCAGCCACATGGTGCCTCACAACTGTCCCTAACTCCAGTTTTAGGGGACCTGACACCCTCACACAGACGTACATGCAGGCAAAGCACCAATTCACATAAAGCAAAAGTAAAATTTTTGAAAGAAAAAAGAAGGGGGGAGGGAAAGAATGGCCTCGTGAGAATTTGAGGTTTTAGTTTCTCCCCTCACTAGGGAAGTTTCTTCTCTCCTGTCAGTTCCTTACTTGTATATAAAATGCAGCTGCCAGGTGTTCCTGAAAGTCTTGTACAGGTTTCATGGTTTTGTCATACTGAGTTGGAGACCACAGTGGGACATCAAATGGGGACACAAACAGTGAACTTAATGTCAAAACGAAAGATACAAAGAACTCTACCGTCCCATGATGTACCTATATACATGCATGAGTGCATGTATGTATGTACGTATATGCAGCTGCATTTAAAATACGCTTGCCAAATTCTTTTGATATGTGTGGTTAGTATGTGCTCCAAGCAGCTTATAGTTTAGGGTAAGTGACATACTCGAATTCCTAATGTTTCTGTATCTTTTACAAAGATCTTTCACAATTTTATTCACAGCAACCCTCTGCTGTGGGGATCAATCTTTGCCTTCTTTCACAGAAAAGGTGGTATTGTGAAGAGATGTCTCAGACAATTTAATAATTAGAGTTCGCTTCCTTTAGTATGATTTAGTGTTGTGGGGAAACCGATATCCGAGATAAGAGGGTCGAGAAGACGGAAGGTGAGGTGCTGGTACAGTCTGTCGGTGTTCCAAACGTGTTTGATGAATGACTAAACTGGGACTAAATATCAAAAGACGGTTCCCTTCTATGAGATCTCTCTGTGTCTCTCTCTGTCTGTCTGTCTCTGTCTCTGTCTCTGTCTCTCTCTCTCTCTCTGTCTCTCTCTCACACACACACACCTCTTCCTATTTAATAATAGCAGGACAAAACAAAATATAGCATACATAGTTACATAGTTACATTTGGGGGGGTGGGGAGAAGGGAAACTGCGAAGGACACGCAGCTGGCGGTGCCAGGTTCTGACGCGTAGGACCCGCCCCGGCAGCACGGCTCAACCTGAGAAGCGGCCACCCTGTGTGGAGCTGAGCCAGGCCGAGACCTCCTCACAGCCCGCGAAGCGACAGAGCCCCCAGCTACAGCCAAGCCCGCACGCCTCACGGTCGGAACGCCTCACCAGCTCTCAGAACGGAAGACTCCAGACGCCCGCCGTCTCCAAGGGCAACGCGCGACCACACTTCCGGAAACGGCGCGTACGGAGGGCGCTTCTATTTTGCGTCACTTCCTCTCCTCCAGGCGTTGTGGCTCCGGGCAGGGTGAGGTGGGAGTTCCGTGATTGTTTCTCTCCCGGTGCTGAACACTGTGTCAGGGAAAGCGCTAGGACCGCCGCGTCCGCCAGGGACAGGCTCTGCCCGCAGACCAGTCCTTGGCGTTTCTAGTCGGGGAAGATCGCGCCGCTACGGTGGCCGAGCAGGTTTGAGCGCGCCGGAAGTGTTCGCCGGCGCTCGCTCCTAGCTGGGCTAGAGACGCACGTGGCGCGGTGAGTGCTCTGGGGGGCGCGGGGGTGGGAAGGAGCCGGCTGGGATGTGGCGGCGGGGCTGGGGCGCTGACCCCCGTGTCTCCGCGCCCCTCGCTGGCTGCGTGGCGAGCGGGCAGGGCTGTCCTCTCTTCGGGGGCCTGGGTGAGGCCGAGGGGGACCGGGAAATGCTCGGAGCCCGCGGTGAGCAGGAGGAGCGGGCCTTCTTTTCCACCAGGCCGCGGGGAACATGTCTTTCCGAGGCGGAGGTCGCGGCGGCTTCAATCGCGGGGGCGGAGGCGGCGGCTTCAACCGTGGCGGCGGCGGCGGCGGTAGCAACAACCACTTCCGAGGGGGAGGCGGCGGCGGCGGCGGCAATTTCAGGGGCGGCGGCCGAGGAGGATTTGGACGAGGGGGCGGACGTGGAGGCTTTAATAAGTTCCAAGACCAAGGACCTCCAGAGCGTGTCGTCTGTAAGTCGTGTTCGGAGCGTAGTCTCCTTGGCAGTGGGAGAGGATGCGGGTAGTGGGTGCCTGCTACCGGCAAGCCTGATGGTTAGGTCTCGGGAAGGCAAGTCTGTAGGGCGCACTGACTTAGACTCGTATGGTAGCCATAAGGAAATGATCGCGACAGGAGTGCGGAGGTGAGCTTGAGTTTGGACTGGAGAGATGAGAATTAGGCAATATTGAGTGCCTCGCCCGTTCTGAAATACGTTTCATTGCTACTGTAGTAAGATTGCTGCTGTGATCCCTAGTGATACAGTTGAAATACAAAGCCAAATTTTTAGCCTCTATAGTCTGTGCTGTCAGTTACCAAAAAGCAAGGGAATTCGGGGGAGGAGGAGAGATTGGCAGCAAGAAAAATGCCTAACTAAAGTAATCTTTCGTAACTATTGGAGAGATGTGATGGAAGGCATGGGAAGAGGAGAGGACTGGATCTGTGTACTTGATTGTTCTGCTGGACAAAGTGGTCAAAGTCAAGGGCTATTGTAGTAAGCCACATGAGATATTGACAGCCATGTTCGAAAAAGTGAAAAGAAGCTGTATCCAACCATTTGACATTGCAGCGTGACATTGTCATCTACAAAGTTCACGTTATAGATCCATACAGCCTAATTAGCATTCCCCCCACACCTTGCAAAAACTCTGTTTTAAATAAGTGTACCATTTAGTGTTGGGCCACATTCATAGCTGTTCATGGCTGTCCTGCAGACCAGGCATTGCACATATGGATGGGAAAGAAATTTCAAAGGAAAAATAATAGGTAAACTAGTACTGAGAATAAAAGGTTTTAGTTGTTAAGGATGAAGAGTGAGTTTTGTCGACACACAGTATTTGATTCCAGGTTAAAGAAACAATGGTACTTACTTTGTAGTTCCAGACTTTCCTGAAAAGGATAGTCATCGGTGAAGAAGTGGTAGTGGAGGAAATGATCAGAAACCAGACTGATTCAAGCTCATAGGCTGGGGAAAAGAACCCCCAGTGAAACATAGTGTCTAAAGAAACTGTGAAAACATGGCAGGGTAACTGGCATTGTGTTGGACGATCTCTGTGTGCCAGGCACTGTTCTGAGTACTTCATTTGTCTGGTTGCTCATGTATTAGATGTGGCCGCAGTGAGATGTGACAAGCCTCATGTACGAGGGTATAGGGAGAAGGGGTGTCTCTTCTAGGTTCCACAGTAATGCCATGCTAACTTAGGACCACAGTGTTGATAACTAAGCTTTACCTTGGAGATCAGATAGTGGTGAAGAATGCTTCCAGCACAGTTGATCAGCATCTGAAATGATTCCATGTCTATTTTCTTGTGCTGTTTCAGTATTAGGAGAGTTCATGCATCCCTGTGAAGACGACATCGTTTGTAAATGTACCACAGAGGAGAACAAGGTGCCTTACTTCAATGCTCCTGTCTATTTAGAAAACAAAGAACAGATCGGGAAAGTGGATGAGATATTCGGACAACTGAGAGATTTTGTATCCTTTCTAATGGGATGAGCCAGTGATCTCATTGAGGAATTATTGTCCCTCCTCTCCCTAGCCATTTAAATATCAGGTAAAGCAAATTAATTGCTTCATTTAGTAGATCACAGTGCTACAGACAGGCCATAAAGAGAATCTACAGGAGAGAATGCATTCTTCCACATTAAGAAGTGATGAGCCAGCTGGGCGGTGGTGGCGCACGCCTTTAATCCCAGTACTCGGGAGGCGAGGCAGGCGGATCTCTGTGAGTTCGAGACCAAGCCTGGTCTACCAAGCGAGTTCCAGGACAGGCTCCAAAACAATACAGAGAAACCCTGTCTCAAAAAAACCAAAAAAAAAAAAAAAAAAAGTGATGAGCCAAGGGGAGATGATTGTCCTTTTGAAAAGTTCTGGGAATAGTGGCCATTTGTATAAGTGCCACAGGATTGTATTGGCTCTGCTGTCAGTTTACATGTGATGGTTCTACTGGAATATCCTGGTAGAATTGGGGGATACTGGTTGTGTATCTTGACTTTTTATAGCCAGGCATTCTTTTACAATGCTTAAACAATGCATCTTTATTTCTCACTTGTTCCTTAATGTAGGTAATAGTATTTTTCAGTTAAGTTGTCAGAAAACATGAAAGCATCTTCCTTTAAAAAGCTACAGAAGGTGAGTCACAATTACAATGAAAGTTCTTGACACAGAAGAGAATGGTGCGTGCCTTAGTCTTACTTGAGGCACTTCCGGCCCTCCACTGTGTTGCAGTGAAGCTCTGAAGGCCATGACAGTACACAGGCATTGAGTTTGCTTTCTCCAGGTGTCTCTCCGCTGTAGCCCTGGTTGGCTTAGAACTCTTTATTGAGACTAGGTTGGCATCTAACTTGCCTCTGTTTCCTAAGTGCTGGGATTACAGGTCTGTGCTATCACACCCAGTCTAAACTTATTAGTCTTGAAGAGTAATGTTTTGGCCAGGCATGCTGTTGTAAGCCGGTAGTCCCAGCACTTGGAGGCAGAGAGGCAGGTTCACACAGTGCTTTTGAGTTGACAGAACGTGAAAAGCTAACGCGCGGTTCTGTAGATAGTGATAGAAATGACTTTTTAGTAACATACTTATTTCCGTTTTGAAGCCCTTCCTCATTTGTGTTTTGTATAGAAGATCTAGAAAACTGTATGCTTCCTTTCAATACCTATACAGTGTCCTATTTAACCCTAAATATAGGCTGGGTTTAATTTTAAAAAACCATGTTATAGAAATACTAATGGAATCCTTTCTTAAAATAGCTACATTGCCAGAATTTTGAATTTTAGTAATACATTTCTGATAATTTTTCTCTTGGCAGCTCTCTTTAGATGAAGATGTAGCTTTTTGGAGACATGCATTTCTAAAAAATGACATTGAATTGATTTTTTTGTTTATGTATACAACCTAATGTGTTGATTTATATATCTTATGATATTCATGGAACTGTGTGATAGGTGCTTCTGTCTACATTTCTATAGATAAGAAAACTAGGTAATTAGAGTGAAGGGGAAAAGTTCTTGCCCAGAGCTGTGTGGTATAAACAGTAGTTGTGGGATTTGAACCTCAGTAGTTTGGACTGAGCATACTGCCCTTCAAGTTAGCACACTAACTGCTACTGTTTAACTTGCAGTTTTATATAGATCCATTTAAGCTGCTACCACTGCAGAGGTTTCTGCCTCGTCCTCCCGGTGAGAAAGGACCTCCCAGAGGCGGAGGTGGCGGCGGCAGGGGGAGGTCGAGGAGGAGGAAGAGGAGGTGGTGGCCGAGGTGGTGGAAGAGGTGGTAAGTTACCGTGCAGGTTTCTAATGAGGTTTTTTCGCCACACACGATTTACACAGTGCAGTTTTCTTTTGCATGTAACCCACTTCCCTTACCCTTATTTCTCTTAAGTATTGCCCATATCTATAGAAGTGCTTTGCTTCCACAGCTTAAATAGGAGAAAAAAAAATTAACTTTACCTTTGCGGGATTTTAGACCCTTGGGTTATTTGTGTTTTAATGGAGATTTTAATAGAGGCAGCTACCCATTGCTGAATGGCAGATGCATTCTGAGAAATGCAGTATTGGGCAGTTTTGTCGTGTGCACTGACATAGATCCTCGTGTAGAGCTTGATCACTCAGCATGGCTTCTTAGTGATGGAGAGTAGTCAGGTGGAGGCTGATGCTGGGGAGATGGGGTAGGCTGGGTTATGATCAGCTTCTTGTGAAAGGGCTGTACTGACTTTAGAGTCACAGTCTGAAGGGAAGTGAAGACACAAACTAGAAGCAGTTGTTTTAACTATTGTCAGGCATCGGGTGCTGTACACGACTATATGCGCTGTACTCTTAGATGCCTAGGCTTATGTATTCCAACAATGGGAGGTAGTAGAGTTTCCCAGGTCCATTATAATTTTTGGAAACTGATGCATGAAACGTTATTATGTACTATATGCCTGTTAACTTAATTGTGGTTTACTTTTTTTGTTTTTTGGTTTTTCAGAGACAGGGTTTCTCTGTGGCTTTGGAGGCTGTCCTGGAACTAGCTCTTGTATTCCAGGCTGGTCTTGAACTCATAGAGATCCGCCTGCCTCGCCTCCCGAGTGCTGGGATTAAAGGCGTGAACCACCACTGCCCAGCTTAATTGTGGTTTCTTAGTTATCAGCGAGTATTTTGATTATATGCCAAGAACTGGTCTTATATCTTAATGTCCAAGCATATTTGAATTTCTTCCAATGGCCTCCATGTGTGGTAGTGATCTTGAGTTTACCCTACTGCTTCACTTGGGAACCTATTTCTTCATCTTCTTTTAAAAGTTTCTGTAAAGCCGGGAGGTGGTGGCGCACGCCTTTAATCTCAGCACTCTGGAGGCAGAGGCAGGCGGATCTCTGTGAGTTCGATGCCGGGCTGGACCAACAGCCTCCAAAACAGTACAGAGAAACCCTGTCTCGTAAAACCAAAAAAAAAGTTTCTGTAAAATATAATAGACGAACTTGCATTTAGTTTTTATGATTATAGGAATTACACAATTTTTACAGCTTATCAGAAAATGAGAGGCTGTCATTATTTAACACGTATTTCTTTTCTAAGGTGGCTTTAGAGGTGGAAGAGGTGGAGGTGGGGGCTTCAGAGGAGGAAGAGGAGGTGGTGGATTCCGAGGTGAGTAAGAGGGAAGACGTCTTTAAATAACTGGGTTTGTAGATTGATACTGTCTGTTGATTTCTTTCATGTTTTATTTCCCTCCCAGCAAGTCTGGCAGATATTGGGGTGTTTTTTACTTTAACTTACTTTATGGCTCTATTCTATAACATTCTTCATTGATTTCTCTTAGTTTTTCACCAAATTACTTTGTTGTATTAATACTTTGAAAAACAAAAAGTGAATATTACGAATAGCAATTGTGTTTGGTAATGTAAATTTATCAAACGTTATAGGAACTCCTGTTGATGTTAAACTTGAGATTTGGGTACTAGTTCTGTTACAAGCCTTGATTTTTTTTTTTTTTTCCTTTGATCAGGAAGAGGACATTAGATGTGGCAGTTTTGACAGACCTCACCACTTGTGTTTTCGCTGCGTGATCAGCTTCTGCTGTGATTGAAGTCTGTGTCTGGAGCAACCTGGAGGATGCTTCTCTGTCAGTGGAGCTGAATCGTCAGCACTGGGTAGAAAAAGCGGGACTGAACAGTCAGTGTTGCTCAGAAAGAGCATGAAGAACCAACCCTGCTTTGTACAATACCTGGCACTCTGTGGGTGCTTAAAGAACAATGGGACTTTTCATTCGAAGCATACTTGGCTTTTTTAAAATAAAATTTTTTATTTCTTTAACTTACTGTTTATTGAACCAAACCTAGTTTTTGAAACTTGGAGGAACAAGCAAAGCTTAAATCCATTGGATTACAGATAGAAAAGGTGGGGTGGGTGAAATTTGTTTAAAGATACTATGATCCTAAAAGTTCCAGACACTCAAACGAACAACCCTCTATCCCCAACAAACCAGGCTGCTGGAATAGTACTTTAAACTTACTGAGAAATGAACTCTTTATTCAGAATGCCTTTTGAATAGGGACAGAACTGCAACGTTTGTTGTATTTCACTTTTGTGTTTTATAATACACAAAATAAAGCTGTTTTAGGGACCACAGTTTATAAGTATTTTTAAATTGTTAGTTTGAGTCTATTAGGATTTGAGTAGCTCTGTTCATGTAAAAACTACGGTTCAATAAATTTAAATACAGGCTACTAAAAGTTTTCTGAAAAAAATTTTACATGAAAGAGTTATTTATCTTCATTTTAAGTAGATATTGGCTACCTATCACATGGTTCAACTCCTGGGTAGGGATGCTATAAATGAAATTGGCTTTGGTCACCATTGCTAGTGTGCTGCCAAAAAATAAGCACACCAGCAAGCAAGGCTGCTCAGTATGGAACTGGCCAGCTCATTGGTTACTTCTCAAGTCTGTTTGAGCATAGCTACTTATTCTTGGGTGCTTGTTTCAGTAGCATGCAATTGTGCCTGTGTCTGAGTTCCATCTTTTTTGTTAATGGAACCACTGTGCTGTTAATACAGAGACCAAAGCAAAAGGGTACCAGGGGCAGGTAAGGGCTCACATCTTGATCTGGAAGTTGGGAGTGAACATATACCTTTGAAACCTGGAAGCTGCCCCCCCCCAGGACACACCCTCCATCAAGGCACACCTCCTTATCCTTCCCCAATAGTTCCACTACTTCAGTCATGAGCCTAAGGGAGCCATTCTCGTCCACTTCTTCAGTTTGTGAAGGGCATCAGCACCAAGGGATGGGTGCAACATTAACAAGAGTTGTTAAATGGCAAAGGACTGTAGACACTGGTAGACAAACCTGGAGATTAAAAGCTAGTTTATTTGAGACATAATTCATATCCTAGACTGACCTCAAATTCTGTTTACCCAAGGCTGGCCTTGAGTGCTGGCTGGGATTATAGAATGCACTACGATGCTCAGTGTAATTTCTGTTTTTACCTTATGTATACAATTTAGTGGTTAAACAGTCATTTATCTCACCCCTCTTGTTATATGTATGTTCTGGGTTTTTGTCGGAATATTTCAGTTTAAATCAAATTCAAATGGACCTCACCTCTTGAACTTTGAAATACTGAGGAGATTTACATGATGGATTCGCAGTCCTGGCTCACCATTCAGTTATTAAAAATAAGCACTTTTTAAACACATCTAAAAAAGTTCAGTAATGGGCCACTAACCCAGCCTGTTCCCTAGACAGATCCCCATAATGAAATGGTGATGGGCAAGTACAGCCCCCTAGTGGTTCTGTTGTGCTGCACTCAAGTTTGGTGACGTTTGAGCCTTGCCTTGAAGTGCTACTGATGAAATATATTTTAATGTTAAAAAGTAATGGAGATACCCCTTTGCTCTAGCAATGCATATTCATACTAGGTTTTATGTGACAATATAGACTTAGGGTTATCCTGTTCTTGGTAAACTGAATAATGGGTGACTAAATAGTATGAACTTACATGAATGTAAGAATTCACTGAGGTGGCATAGAACATGAATCCACTCTGGAACACGAGCTTATTATGCTTAGACTGGGATTTATGGGATGATATTTATGGAAAGCAAAGTCCACCATGTGTCTGGTACATAAAGATACCTGTTATGCACTGTACATCTATCTCTTTTGTTTGAAAGGAAAGAAGTTGGACAAACCTCTAATTCTGAGGATATAATTTTGTATGACTAGATATATAAACAAAGGTAAATGCATAAGGATCGCACCAGGCAATCAAAATCTAGTACAAACATTTAGTCCTTCCTTCTGAATAGCCACTGAAGATGAGGGTAGTGCTCGGAGCAAGTTCAGTCAGCTCCCGACTGCTTTTCTGAGTTGGGTTTGTTTGTTTTTGTTTGTTTAAATACGGTGATTTGCCTGGTAATCTGCTGTAAATATAAGACAGGAACCTTAACTACTTAAGATGTGTGGTGGTTGGGATTTTGCTTTAAGAAGCTTTCTCCTTGTTCTAGTAATTAAAATCTTTTCCTCTTCAGCCCAATTAAGTGTATTACTGGAGGGCCTCTCGTGAAAAAGCCTTTCTTTGAGGTCTAGAAGTGGAAATAATTTGTCCTGAAAACTTGCCTGCCAGTCTGTTGAAGCTGATTACCACCGTTCGAAGGCTGTTCCGAAGGTGGTCTGGACTCTCCAGAATGCTGAGCAACACTTTAGATTTAAACACTTCAAACTCCAGGAATGCAGGCAGTTCTGTCTTTTCAAAGACCGAACACAGCATCATTGCAGCTTACCTGATTATGGCAGGTATGGGTGTTTATTCAGTTACCTGCGTCTCGTAGAGGTGTTTGGTACAAGCGTGCCGTGTGGGCTGGCTGGTAAACAGGAATTGTAACCATCAGAGAAAATGGAAAGAATGAAGAATGAATGAAAGCAATGTAATGATGCTGCTTGACATGGAGGATTTTAATAAATGAGAGCAAAGGGGCAGGAAAAGCCCTATACGAGGAAGCTTTAGAATAAAATTTGTCCATGTATTTGGTTCTTAACGTTGACTATAAGCATGAGCGAGTGTGCACCGTGGTAGACGCATGCTTTATGTCAGTTACCATCCTCGTGCATAATTTGCATTGTTTTCTTCTTGCCAGACTCTAACTCAGATTGAGAGGTACTGGAAGAGAAGTTGGAGAAAAAAAAGTAGGGGGTGCATATGAAGTTCCTCCAGCCGGCAGTCGGGAAGTGGGGCTCTAGGAGGTGGTCTTTTCATATCTTTGAAAGTGTGTACCAGATATTTCATCTTCTCATTTGTAAATGAAGACAATCAAGGCTCTGTCGTGATTGTTATGAAGAGTATATATTAGATGTCAAGGTACCTAAGACAGATATTGGGTAAATATGCTCTTGTTGATACAAAGATTAAGATAAAGGCTTGTTTGTAGAAAAGAGTGCGAGGGAAACAAATTCTATTGGTGGTGTGGCTTTTATAATCAGCAATCAGTCTGAAACTGTAGGCAGTGTCGAGTTTTAGTAGCTGTTATATTGTGCTTGTTGCCTTTTGGATTGGCTTTTATGAAAAATTTCATTCACATTTTTAAAACAGACTGAGAGATCCATCTCTGTGTGTCTACTTGACAACTGTCTAGTTTTTACCTCATAGTTGACTTGCCCTTCAAATAACAATTTCCTTTTCATTTTAGTGGTATAGTGACTAATTCATTTAAATACTTCTAAATATCCCATAGAAACACTATGTACAAGTTTTGGTTCAGCTATTTGTAGGTAACGGAAAATCCAAAATTTATCTGGTATTTTGGAGGCTGAAGCAGAATTGCTGAGGATTTCAGAGTCCAATGGGCTACATTAGTGAGACTGTCTCAAACGGGGGAAAAATATGTTCACAACATTAGTATGTGAAGGAAATTTCCTAAGAAAATCTTGTGGCTGCTTTTTAGTTTTGTCTCCCTAATTCTTACAGGTAAAGAGCTTAAGAAAATTTCCAGCACACATTTTTGGCTACTTGGCTTTGAACAGAGAGGTCTTTTTGTTAGCCCTCTCACTTATGTAACTACACAGGTCAGTTTCATTAGGAAACATCACAGCTTGCGGTCTTTGCCTATGTTTTTGTAGAGGAACTGAAGGAAACACATCTTACCTCTGTGCTTTTGTTCTGTGTATCAAATATCTCTTGTTCTTCCCATCCCCTCATTTTCCACCTTTAACAGAAAACTACTTGAGCTCCCAAATAAGAATGAAAACTGAGGAAAAGGGTGCATGCCCTTAAGCATCATTCCATTTGTTATTTTTACCATAGACCTATGTAAATGTTTTTACTGTAGAATCTACTTATTTTATATATGTACTGAATTACATTTTTTGAACCAGGAGCCTGCTGTATAGTCTGTACTAGCCTAGAACTATCTATGTAGCCAAGGCTGGCCTTGAACTCATGGTCTTCCTGCTTCTGCCTTCTGAGTTTTGTATCCTAAAAACACCAACACTGGAGGCATGAAAGCCACAGAGGGAATTTAGGGACAGATGGTTCATGGTTGTGACATGTGAGCCAGACATCTGTACTGGCTTATGCAATAAACAGATTCTTTTAATTTAATTTCCATTTTAGAGAAGATGTTAGTTGTTTAAATTTATTTATTTATTATGTTTACAGTGTTCTTAAGATGCATTTATTTATTTTGTATAGTGCTCTGCCTGAATATATCCCCAAAGGCCAGAAGAGGGCATCAGATCTCATTATAGATTGTTGTGAGCCACCATGTAGTTGCTGGGAATTGAACTCAGGACCTCTGGTAGAGCAGTCAGTGTTCTTAACCTCCAGGTCATCTTTCCAGCCCCAGAAGAAGATGTTAGTTTTAAGAAGAGCTGGACCTCTTCAAACAGAGGGACTAAGCTGGATTGCTATCTTTTTTAAAGTAACTTAAATATTTAATTTTTATTCAATTATAAACATGAAAGTTGGACAACATACATGATCCTCCTATGTATGTCCTTAGGTATAATAAGCATTCTCAGCAACATAATAGTTCTGGGAATCTTCATCAAGTACAAGGAGCTACGGACACCCACGAATGCGGTGATTGTGAACCTGGCTCTCACTGACATAGGCGTCAGCAGCATTGGCTATCCCATGTCTGCGGCTTCAGATCTGCATGGAAGTTGGAAATTTGGATATTCAGGCTGCCAGGTATTGGAGATCTTTGGAATGAAAAGAAATGAAGTAAAGAAAACCGATGCAAATTTAAAAGTCTTTTTAAAGATCCCAAGAACTGGGGCTGGGGAGGGGGGTGAGCGGGTGAAGTGCCTGCTGGGGGAGCAAGGTGACCTGAGTTAGGACGCCAACCCCTATGGAAAAGCCAAGTGTGGCAGCACACACCTTGAATTCCAGTTCGAGGGAAGCAGAGGCAGGTGACTGGATCCAAAGGTCTTCAAGGCAAGCCAGTTTAGCCACACACTCTATTGAGGGGGAGACCCTACTCAAAACAAGCAAACAACAAAAAAGTGGAGAGCAATAGAGAAGACACCCATGTCAACCTCTGGCCTTCAAATGCTCACACGTGGGTGTGCACACCTATGCACATACACATCACATGTACAAAACAACAACAAAAATCCAGTAATTTAAACCAAGATGATATAGGGTAATAGATTCATTGGTTTTGTGGAAAATAACTTCAGCAATGATTGAGGATACATTTGTCTTTTAGTACTTTATTTTTTGTATTTTATGAGTAAAGTGTTTTGCCTGCATGTGTGTCTTGTACCCACATATGTACAATGCTGGTGGAAGCCAGAAGAGGGTGGTAGATCCCCTAGAACTTGAGTTACAGACGGTTGTGAGATGCCGCGTGGGTGCTTGGAATTGAACTTTCAGTCCTCTGGAAGAGCAACCAGTGCTCTTAGCTGCTGAACCATCTCCTCAGCCCCAGCATTCATTCTTTAAGGAGAGGTATAATGCAGGGGTGAGCCCACAATACTGTCCACTCCCTTTGGGCGTGGTGAGGATGAAAGGAAAAGGGAGAGCAAATTTCTCTCTCTCTTGGAAGCTAGCCACGTTCCCAGAGCTCCTATCTGCCTGCTTATTGTGTAAGTCACTTCTATAACTTAGTAAATATCTTAGACCTCCTTTTCAGCTAGCGTTATTTCATCATCAATATAAGGTCACTAATCATTTAAGATTCTCTGAACCCCAAGAAAAGGAATCAAGGAGCCAAACAACTGGTGTTCAACCACAGAAAAAATAATCTGCATATTTCAATAAAGTGTGCATATTAAAATGTATACTCTCCTTTCATTTTAAACAAAATATTTAGAGGCAGTCATATTCACTAAGAAATGTATTCATGTTACCACTGTTAATCTTTTACTGTAGAAGGCCTTTTGTGAGAAATGTTAATAGCTGTATTTACTGTTATTTCTTCTGACAAGGAAATGTATTGGTATTAATTTACATTGGGATAGTAGGCAAATACAATTTGTGGTCATATTTTAATAGTTTTAATATTCTGCTATTCTAAACCTTAAAATAATATAGGCTAATGAAGAATACTGTAAATGTTACATGCGAGGGTGTTGGAATGGCAGACTGTTAACTGTTTGTTTTTTCAGATTTATGCTGCATTGAATATCTTTTTTGGAATGGTGAGCATTGGCTTACTCACAGTTGTGGCTATAGACCGGTACCTGACTATCTGCTGTCCTGATGTGGGTAATGACGTGTTTCTTGTCCTTCTCAATGAAATCATTCATTGTGTAACAGTCACTCAACATGTATTCATTTTAAAGTATAGACATAATGGTCTATAACCAGGTTCAGTTTAGTTCTCTAGAAACCCTTGTTCAGAAGTTTTGATGGCTGTCTACAATACTTAGAATATAGTCCAGATTTCATTAGGCATCCTGCGAGGCCCTGCAGGATTGGCCCTGGTTGCCTTTCTGGCTTCCTCCAGGGTCACTGTCACTTTTGGATACTGGCCAGGCACTTTCATCTTTGGGACTTTTGTTTGTGTTGTTTTCCTTGGCCTGTAAGACTATCGTTCCCGTTTATCCTCTACACTTTTATCATTCAGATTTTGGAGTGCCATTTTTGTCAGAATGTGACTTTGTGTGCTCTGAGGTACTCTGTGGAGAATGTACTTTTGAGTCATCAGTGGAACCGAAGTGAGCCCTGCCTTTGTGAACAACACTAACGCCTCCTGTGCTTCATGACAGGAAGAAGAATGACCACCAGCACTTACGTCAGCATGATCCTGGGTGCCTGGATCAATGGCCTGTTTTGGGCTTTGATGCCCATCATTGGGTGGGCTAGTTATGCCCCAGATCCTACTGGGGCCACCTGTACCATAAACTGGCGGGAAAATGATGTGTAAGAGATGTTTGCGTCTTCTAGTCAGGTGCTCTCTCCCTTCCGCCCATGAGTGCCCTTGCAGAGGCTGTGGCAAAGCCTGGCTTGGCGTGACGCCCATGGAGACAAACGCAGAGCGGCTCATGCTTGCTTGCAGGCCAAAGTCATCTGGCTCCCTTTGTCCCCTTGCTTTGATCCTTTCTTCCTTCCCGTGTCCTCTGCTCAGGCAGCAATGGGGACCCCTCCCCCTCTTTACCCATCCCGGAGTTGGGATCCCAAGGGGGAAGAGGGTTAGTGAAGCTAGAGAGTGGGCAGTTCTAACTCAAACCTAGGCCACCCCTGTGTTCTCTTTTCCGGATGGTCTGGGGTTCAAGAGTCCCTGCAAGGATTTGCCACGAGTTAATGACACTCCTCTAGGTTTTCCATGGAAGTGAGGGTCATTTAGTTCATTAAGGGAAATGAAAGATGACTAAAAAACAAAACAAAACCAAGATCTTCTAAGATATTTTTCTGTAAAAAGTAAAACGTCAGGCAATGCTTCATTTTGGCCATTATACTGTGAAAGTAGCCATCAGCAGTATGTAAATGAATGTACATGGTTGTGTTTTAATAAAACTTTACAAAGACAGTTGACTGGCAGGAACTAGCCCATAGGCCGTAGCTTAATGGTCTGAGTGAACTATGAAATGTAAGTCAAACATGCTTCCTAAGCTTTTAGACAAGAAAGTGACTTACTATTACTTCTAGCAGTTATTTCCTCTTGCCCTTTCCCTGGTTTAGAGAATTAAACGCGTTGTCATGATAGTTTTGTCTTATTTCCAGATCTTTTGTGTCTTACACCATGATGGTTATTGTGGTGAATTTCATTGTGCCTTTGACAGTAATGTTTTACTGTTATTACCATGTGACTCAGTCCATGAGACTTCATGCTGTCCAGAACAGCACTACAAACCTTCACAGAGACTGGGCCGAGCAGGCAGACGTAACAAAGGTAAGCAGTCAAAATCCTTGAAATGTTGGTAACAAAGCTTTAAATATACATAGCTGGAAAGCCTCCCCCCCCCCAGGCTCCTTTCCTGTACTGCCATTTCTGCTACCCTGCTCTTTCTGCTGGTGTTTGTCCCTGTGTTGTTGAATCTATGCCTATCTGTTCCTCAGATGTCTCTGTGTGCTACGATCCCTGGCTTCCTCCTGTAGACTGTGAGGATTCCTGTGTCCAGCCTGGTCCTGCTCCCTTTCTCTTTCATCCTGAAGTATGGTAGCAGTATTTGGTTAGATTAAAAAGCATTCTCCTCCTTTGATATGTTCAAACACCCCAGGCACAAAGGTTCACATTGTCTTCCCCTTAGAGCTGATCCTTCCTATACCCTGAGTGCCTTGATTTTCCCTGGTCAAGCCGTTCAGTAAGCAGAGACTTTCCCTTCATCATATAAGCAAGGTGCAAAGGGTTCCTCTACACATTATTTGTATTTACTGTATATAAAACATGCCGCCAAGTGGCTACTAATAGAACTCACTGAGCTTAAGATAGGACTGTGTTTTCCGGTTGAGTTAGGAAAGTTTGTTTGGTTGAGGTTAGCCCATAATAACGGGGTGGGCAGTTGTCTAAAACTCAAGTGGGCTGGAGAGGTTTGCATGCACATTTGCTCGGAGCTGCCATTGTGTGCTCTCCCCAGCACATGAAATGAAAGGATGTTCTTTACAGTACGTAACACTCTTTGCAGCAATGACACATGTTGCTTAACACAGCCATTTGCAATTGTTGTCGTAGATGACTTCAGGAGCTGAAACAAAGAATAGTGAAGGCAGAGCCCCAGCTCCTTTATGTTACCAACACAATTCTAACCTACATTCTCATGCTACTGGAGATGTATTAGTCGTGTAAACATTCTAGGTGCTAGTCTTGGTGATTATTTCTTTTTTGCAGATGTCTGTGATAATGATATTGATGTTTCTGCTGGCATGGTCTCCTTATTCCATTGTGTGCTTATGGGCTTGCTTTGGAGACCCAAAAAAGATTCCTCCTTCAATGGCCATCATAGCTCCACTGTTTGCCAAATCCTCTACATTCTACAACCCCTGTATTTATGTTGCTGCTAATAAGAGGTAAGTAGTATTTATAGTGTTTCTGAATAAAACGATAGCACAGAAAGAACGCAAAGGCAGTGACTAGTGTTCTAATACTTTCAGAGGTGACAGAAACCTATGACAGCTGTCATAGTTAGGGTTTCTAAGTCCATGACAAAACACCATGGTCAAAAGCAGCTTGTGGAGGAAAGAGTTTCTTTCAGCTTACGTCATAGTCTATCACTGAAGGAAGTCAGGGAAGGGACTCGGGGCAGAAACCAGGAGGCAGGAGCTGATACGGAGACGGTGCAGTAGTGCTGCTTACAGGTTTGCTCAGCCTGTCTTCTTACAGCATGCAGGACCACCTGCTCAGGGATGGCGCTGCCCACAGTGAGCTGCCCCCCCTAAGGCCATATCAGTAATCAGTCAAGAAAATGCACCATAGGCTTGTCCACAGGTCAATCTGATGGGGGCATTTTCTCAATCCCGTTTCTCTTTTCCCAAATGACTTTAGCCTATGTCAAGTTGCCATCAAACCAGCCAGCACAACCACCTAGTTTAAGGTTATTTGGCTTATATAAATAACTGTTGAAAACAGCCAAGGTCTTACATATTTAGAGCTCTACTCTTGTGATAGATTCTTCCGCCATGGTGGCAGAAATATCCTTGGGCAACCCCGGACCAAATTCTGCCAGCTCAGCATCCAAAGATAGCCTTCATCTCAAATGACCACACCGCAGAAAAGTTCCTAGCTGATCACTGGTCAGCTAGGTTTGAGTGCTTGCCCCACCCAGGTGTATGGAATAGGGTTTTCCAAAGGAAAGAGTAGACAGGCAGCAAGCCGAGACAAGACTGTGGGCCCTCAGTGGGTGGTGTAGCTGTACACTTACCAGGAGTGGCCCATCAGCAAGCTCCTGGGTAAAGTTTAAAGTATTTCATTTTCTATTACTGTGGGATGATAAAGCAATTTGTTGCACTGAACCCTGGTAAGTCACAAATGCCATTGCTGTGTCTGCTTAAATGTGTATGCTGATGCACAGATTTGAGAGAACAGCTTGGGCTGTAGATATGTGAAAGAACACACAGACTTTAGGATGATGTAGAGCACACAGGACACCAAAGGGCATATTTTGAGGTCAGAATCTGCTGGAAGTTCTCTGGGAAAGACCAGCCATTCTCAAGTCCCCTCAAACCCAACTGACCTTTGCACAGGGGACCAGATCTGTGAAAAATGAATCCTTAATTCAAACAAATAACTTACTGTACTTGGCAGTTGATGTATCATTTTAAACATACACGGTTAATGAATTTATCAGATGTCCTCCATGTTTGTCTTCAGTGGTGCAAAATTGGTCTTGAACAATACCATCAGTCCTATATATTTATAAAGGTTTTCAAGTGGAGATGTTGCAGTTGGTGCAGTGACTTATTTAGAGCTGCCCATCAACAGTAGTGGCTCTTTAGACAAATAGAAAATGCCTTAAAAGTTTCATGTCATCATAGAATAACATTTTTTCTTTTGCTTATGGCAGGTTTCGGAAAGCCATGTTTGCCATGTTTAAATGCCAGCCTCACCAAGCAGTGCTTGAGACAAGTTCTGTACCAATGAATATGCCTCAAAGCCATAACAATGCCTGAGACAGGTTCTGTACCAGTTGGATATGCCTCAAAGCCCATTGACTCCTGGAGGAATCTCATGCGAGAAAGAATATACCACCAAACCTTTTATTTGTTTTGTGGGGTTTTGGGGCAATACATTAATTTTATTTTAAATATGAATCCATTTAGATCAAGTGCAGACAAAGACTATTGCCTTATTGGACTGCAGGTCCCTCCCACCCAGCCAGCACAGTCCCGTCTGTGCAGTAGTTGCTGTAGAGCCTGCACTGTATCCTCAAGGGTAAATGAATAGTTAAATCCCCTTTGATGAATCCAGGCACCCGGAACTGCAGTCTCTCTTCTTTCTCGTTAGAAGGCACACGTTACAGCACGTTACAGTGCGCTGATGACCTGAACTTGACTGGGTTTCCATTAGACAAGAGATGACCACTAGAATATTAGAATATTTTAATGTTAGGGAAAGTTAATAATAAACTAATCAAAATTATAATCCCGAATAACTAATTGCTGAAATGAGTTGTTTGATATTTCCAGCTATGAAAAAATATTTTTAACATCTCAAAAATTTGAGTTTAGAATCAATCATTAATTCATCTTATTTTAGCAAAAATATATAAACATTAAACACAACTGCTTTTTATCATGCAAGTCTATTGCACATATACATGTTATAGCAGATTAACATCTGCATTTTGTTGTTATTATGTTTGTTTTTTTATTTTTCAAAACAAGGCTTCTCAGTATAACCACTCTGGCTGTCCTGGTACTCACTTTGTAGACCAAGCTGGCCTTGAATTCATAGAGATCCGCCTGCCTCTACCTCCCAACTGCTGGGATTAAAGTCATGTGCCACCATCACCGGTTGTATATTTTGTTATATATTCTAAATTTGTATTATTTTTAGAATGTTTTAATTTGTGTGTCTGTGTGTTTACCAATGCATGTGTTCATATTGTGCATGCTTGTGTCTGCGTATATGTGCCTGCCTTCCTTCAGAGCCAGAAGAGGGCATCAGATACCCTGGAACTGAAATTACAGGCAATTGTGTCACCTGAGGGTGCTGGGAACTGAATTCAGGTCCTCTGGAAGACTATCAGGAGTTTTTAACCACTGAGCTATCTCTCCAGTCCCTAAATTACAATGTCCTGTGTTTGCCACTAGAATTATGTTCAAACAGAGTAGGGCTTTTTCAGTCTGGCACATAGTAGGTACATTCACAGTTTGCTTGTTTGTTTGCTTGTTTTGGTTTTCCGAGACAGAACTCACTTTGTAGACCAAATGGCCTTGGACTCAGATATCTGCCTGCCTCTGCTTTCCAAGTGCTGGGATTAAAGGCATGTGCCACCACCACTCAGCTCAGTCTGTCACTTTTAATGTCTGAGTATGAAACAGTACAATATACCACTATTTAAAAAGTAGACACCTCAACTGTTTCAATTTTCTACTTAACTTCTTATGAGACAAGGTCTCCTCCTGTAGCCCAGCCTGGCTTCAAATGGGCAGTGATCAGTAATTCAGTGTCTGGGATTACAAATGTGTACCACCATGCCTGGCTCAGTTGTTTTTACTCTCATAGATACAAAATTAGGAACACGTTAATGCATATATCTTTGTAGGGGTGGTATCAGTTTATTCTACCTGAGTCTTTATCCAGGCTATGGTGATTGGATAGAAATATAAAAGAATTTATTGTTACTAGCTTTCTCCATGAGATAGTTCTGCATCACACTGGCCGTGTATACACTTTCACTTCATATCCCTTAAAATACTGCTGTATAATATTTCAGAACTGTTTTATCCTGTAGTATGAATTTATCTCATTTCCCATCTCTTTAAATGCTTTTTAGACTACGTATCTTTATTTATTGCTCCACCATTGTAAATTGCCTCCTTAACACCTTTGTCAGCATATTAAATCCTGCCAACTAGTTTTATTGAGACCATCCACTTTGTGTAGATAATGACCAATTCTATAACAACTTCCTAGTTTGGCTTTCCATCTTCTGCCTTCGCCTCCTGCAATCATACTTTAACTCCATAGCCAACTTTTAAAAAATGCAAATGCATTTCCAGTCCTTCAGATCTTTCAAACCAAATTTTCAGCAGCCTGTTGTATTAACAAAGTTTTTGTCCCTGTGACAAAAGCAACTTAAGGGAGGCAGAGTTTACTCAGAGAGAACTGAGTTCAGCATGCGGGACAGATGAGGCAGCTGGTCACATGGTACCCACAGACAGAAAGCAGAGTGACATCAATTCTGGTGCTCACTAACTGTCTCCTTTTCAGTCCAGGACTGCAGCTCATAGGGTTGTGATGCGCACACTTAGGGTGGCACTTTTCACCCCAGTTATCCCAATCTAGAAAGTCCCTCACACCCAGCCAAGATGATTATACATCCTGTCAAGTCTACCATTACGTTAGTGAAGGGAGACTGGATCCCTTTGCTGCAAGGCCAAGGCCTTCTCAGCATGGCCCCAGACAATCTTCCTTCCTCAGCCTGACCTAGAGAGACTTCCTCTCAGCATGGCCCTGAGAGACTTCTCAGCTTTTGGTAATTTTCCTGTGGCAACATTAAAATGTGTTGTGTTCCTGGAGGGCTCTGAGAGCTTTGTACCAGGAGCTGTTGGCTCCTTCAGTTCCCCCAGTTAAGCTGCTTAGCAGAGAAAACTCGGCAAGCAAGGGTCATGAGAGCAGTTAGATGGGAGAGACATTAGTCACAGGGCATTAGATGGCCAAGGCAGTATTTGCTATGTTGTCTAGAGAACTGACTGTGGGTTCTAGTTTGCAAGGCTTTGGGTTCATGTCTAACAAACAACAGAATAACTTCACATCGCTATAAAGGATGTGAGTGGTGCACTAGTGTTTAACTCTGTCAGTTAACTGGTTTATACAATAAGACTGAGTGGTGAATATGGTTCCCTATAGCATTGGGCTTACTAGCTTGATGCTTTGTCACTGAACAGCCTTTCTATACCCAATTGGCCACATCCTGCTTCTCTGTGCCAGAACATCCATAAACCTGACAGTGCAAAGACCATTTGGTCACTTAGTGAGCAGAGTTTGCGGCCATCTTGGTAACGCAGAGTCACCACCCATCACCCTGGGATTGTTCGTAAAAGTAGTCTTCTTCAGCCCCACACCTAAGCAAGCAACGTGTCTCAAAACCACATTATCCACACTCTAACCCACACACTGAGGTTTCAGCTCAAGGCTGTTCACTTGGACCGTAGTCAGTGGTGTCTATTTAAAGCCTCCAACTCCCCTCTTGCCTGTTCTAAACCAGTGGCTCTCAAGCCCTTGGGGATGGGGTGTCGAACAACCCTTTCACAGGGGTCTCATATCAGATATCCTGCATACCAGATCCATAACAGCAGCAAAATGATAGTCATGAAGTAGCAACAAAAATAATTTTATGGTTGGGGGGTCACCACATCGTGAGGAACTGTACTAAAGGGTCACAGCATCAGGAAGGTTGAGAAGCCTTGCTCTAACCCCTTCCACACAGTTACCAGGAAATCCCAGGTAATCCATTGATCTGATGAGCCACTCACAGCTTAACCTTTATGTTTTTGCTGCCTGGAGGTTGAGTGTGGCTCTTTAACAGGGCATCTAAGGCCCTTCCTCTGCAACCTCAGCCTCAGACACTTAGCCCTGAGCAGCAGAAAATGCTTGTGCTTCCCCGAGGCTCTCTTGAAGCCTTCTGTACATACAGCACACTCTTTCCTGTTTCTGTCTGCTTGCTTCCCTCTTTTCTGATGCGTGGAAAGCTTTGCCTGATTACACGGGCCGAACACGATGTTCCCTTGCTTCCTTAGTGACCTGCATCTCTATCGTTCAGGTTCCTTATGTATTGCTTAGTGACCGTGTGTTGCTTATCTTTGTACTTTTAGTAGCTGGTTTGGAGGTTGCCAAATACTCAGTAAATATTTGATGAACAAGTGAATTGTGTAGTCTCTAAACAGCTGCAATATGGTTTTTTTTTAGAATGAGTGTTTTCCAGACTCTATTAGTTATATATGAATTCTATTAGTATTTGATAACATGTCATGTGATATTCTTGTTTTTACAGAATTAATCCTCTATTCTCATGTTTAAACATGATGGATAGAATCACATACTATGATGATTAAATCTTTTTATTATTGTCATGAATTTCACTTATTTTGTATGTGGAGGTGGATTTTAAGTAAGATAAAAATTTAGGGGGCAGGAAGGAAAAATAAAATAAAATAATATTTTATTCCCTGCAGCTGGGTGTGGTAGTGCAGGCTATTAATCCCAGAAGAGTCAGATGGATCTCTACGAGTTCAAAGCCAGCCTGGTCTACATAGTGAGACAATATCTCAAAAATTATTTTGTTGCTAAATATTGCTAAAACACATGTTATCTGGCCTTCTGTACTGTAATCCTTTTTGAGGCAGTGTTCATGTATCAGACAGGCATCCAATTTGTTATGTACTGGGGGTGACTTTGAACATCTGATCCTCCTACCTTCACCTCTCAAATGCTGAGACTTTAGGCACAGCCCCTTACCCAGTCTTATATGGTGCTGGAGACTGGAGACAACGGTTTGTTCATAACAGGCATGCCCAGCGCTCAGCTCATTTCTAGGATTTTGGTGCTCCAAACTTATAATAACATTTCTGCTTTGAACAGAAATAATTGCCTTCATTAGAAATGAGCATGCTTGGGGAAATCATGTGCATACTGAGATGATCTTGGAGAGACTCAGGACGGACTCTTACTGAGTCGTAGCCCTGACACATCAGGAGTGGATTAAAGAGTCTCCCCATAGTGACAATGACATGGGTCTAGCTTTCTTGGCCCTGGGAGGTGAGCAGAACGGGGCAAGACTGGTAACTGTATTTGAAGTAAAGTCACATTTGCTGATGAAGATCCAAAAAGTGAAAGGGACAATGAATGTGTATATAAACTACTGAAAATGTTAGCTTAGGCCAAGATACTGAGTCTTTTTTAACACTGGATATGTTTTTAAGCTATAGTGACAGATCCATCTATAGGAAAGGTGCCTGATAAGGGCTTCCTTGCAAATCTAGACATGTGCAGCTATTGAGCAAAGGGGTCAAGACCAGGCTGGTGAAACCCACAGAAACTGCTAACTTGAACAAGGGGGAACTCTTGAACTTCCGACTGATGGCTGGAGGGTGGGGAGCAGCATGGGACTGATCCAGACCCCCTGAATGTGGGTGTCAGTGAGGAAGCCTGGCCAATATAGGGCCTTGGGCAGTAGATCAGTATTTATCCCTGGCACACAAATGGACTTTGGGTTCCCCTCCCATAATGAGGGATTGCTCTCTCAGCCTCGACTCTCGGGGAAGGGCCTAGGCCCTGTCCTGAACGAAATGACAGACTCTGGATATCCCCATGGAGGGCCTCACCCTCCCTGGGGAATGGAGTGGGAATTGGCTGGGGGGCTGGAGGGCGGGCCGGTGGGGAGCAGGGGAGGAGGGGAGGGAGAGGGAGCTGGGATTGACGGTGAAACAAGCTTGTTGCTAATTTAAAGAAAAAAAAGAAAAGAAATTGTCTTGCTGGGTTTGATTTCCACTTTCGAAGCAAGTGTGTTACCTGGCTGAGACCATATTCAAAGGCTGGGTGGATTGATCCCCTGCAAGACACTTGAAGGTTAAGTAACTGCGGATCTCCACTAATCTGGCTAAGCTGCTGCTGTTAAATGTCGGCCGGCATCCCGGGGCACCAGCTTCTACATGCTCCTGATTGACCACTTACCTTTTGCTCAGCTGGCCACTCTGGAGCTATGCGGCCCTTTGCATGGCTGTGCCTTCT